CCCACCCCACCGTTCTGTGGCACCACCGGATGGGACACCCTTCTCTTCCACGTCTGCGTGCTATGTCTAGTCAGCGTCTGGTCTTAGGTCTCCCGCGTGTCTTGCCGTCGCTGCCGCCGTCCCTTGCACCACCGTGCGGTCCTTGCGTCGAGGGTAGGCTGCGTGCCACCCCTCACTCCTCCTCCCTTCGTCCGGCCACCGAGCCTTTTGAGACGCTGCACTTGGACGTCTGGGGCCCCTCTCCTCGCCCTGGCCCTGAGCGTGAGCGTTTCTTTTTGGTGGTCGTTGACGACTACTCCCGCTACACCACAGTGTTCCCCCTGGCGAGGAAGTCTGAGGTGACTTCTACGCTGATCAGGTGGTTGCTTACCACCCAGGACACTCGTGGTCGTCGTGTCAGCTGTCTCCACTCCGACCGCGGGGGCGAGTTTCGCTCCGGCATTCTCGCTGGATTCTGTCGCGAACAGGGCATTCGTCAGTCCTGGACGCTTCCGGAGTCCCCACAGCAGAATGGGGTTGCTGAGCGTCGCATAGGCCTGGTCATGGAGATTGCCCGCACCTCCTTGACTCACGCCCGTGCCCCCCATTTCCTGTGGCCATACGCAGTCAGGTACGCCGCGCACCAGCTGAACCTCTGGCCACGCGTCTCTCGGCCGGAGGCTTCACCGACCAGTCTTTGGACAGGGTCCCCTGGTGTCGCGTCGAGGTTTCGTGTCTGGGGGTGCTTGGCTCTTGTCCGCGACACCTCCGCGGACAAGCTCTCGCCTCGCGCCGTTCCTTGTGTCTTCCTTGGTTTCCCTGAGGACTCCTCTGACTTCACCTTTTACCACCCTCCCTCTCACCGGTTCTTTGACTCCCGTGACGTCCGTTTCGAGGAGTCCACCCCGTACTACGTCAGGTACCCCAGTCGAGGTCTCCCGGTTCCTCCTCCCCCCCTCTTCCTGACAGCCGCTCCCCCGCCTGCTCCCCCGGTACAGCCTCCCCCCCTGGTCCAGCCCCGTCTGGTGTGTCTCAGGCTAGCCCTCCCCCTTCGGTAGCCCCCCCTGTACAGCCTCCCTCCCCACAGTCTTCCTCACCGCCTCCTGTAGGTGCTCCCTCTCGGGAGGTTGGTCCTGCGACTGTCCCTGTACAGGTCTCTGGTTCTGGGGGTGCTGGAGTTGGAGCTGAGCCGCGGGTTGCAGAGGACTCTTCTCTTCCGGGGGCTGGTACTGGTCGTGCGGAGTCTGGGGGTGCTGGTGCGGAGTCTGGGGGTGCTGCGTCTGGGGGTGAGGGTGTTCCTTCGGTTTCTGGAGAGCCTGGGTCTGGAGCTGGTGTTGGTGCTGCCTCTGGGGGTGGTGTGCTTGGTGCTTCGGAGGTCGACTCTGGGGCTGCCGCTGCCCCGGACACTACTCCTTCCCCCCACCCCTACCCGACCAGGTTCCAGGCTCGTGTTCGCCGTGCTCGTGAGGAGCAGCTGGAGTTGGAGAGAGAGGAGAGAGAGTTGCAGCGGCTCGAGGAGCAGGAGCGACAGCAGCAGGGGCAGCAGCCGCTGGAGCAGCAGCAGCCGCAGCAGCCGCAGCAGCAGCAGTTGCCGTCTCCTCCTCCTGTCTCGGGTCTTCGGACCCTTGGTCTCCCCTCTCCCTCTCCTTCCTCCTCCCCCTCTCCTCCCGTCTCTGGTCCTCCGCTTCCTCCTCCTGACCCCTCTCCCGCTGTTTTCCCTCGTTCTCAGTCTTCGTTGTCCCCTCCTCCTTCTCAGACTTGGGCCTCTCGTCGCTCCCCTCGTGCTCGTCCCTCGTCTCCTGTTCCCTTCACTGACCTTCGTACTGCCTTACTTCGTTCTAGTCCACCTCGTCCGTCTCCGTCTGTGCTTCCGTCTCCTCCTGAGTCGGCTCTCACTGCGTCGCTCCCTACTCCTGTCACTGACTACTACCGCACGTACCGTCCTGTTCTCTCTCGTGTTCTCGCCTCGCTTGTTACTCACCCTCGTGCCTCTGTGTCCTCTGTGTCCGCTCTTACTGCCGCAGTCACTGAGTTTGCCTCTACCCGCCGCCTTGACTTCGCCACCGCGCTTGTGGCTGCTCCTCCTTCCAGTCCTCTGGCCGTCGGGGGTGTGTCTGCCCTTGGCTGTGACGCCCTAGAGGACAGGCAGTTTGAGCTAGAGTTCCTGGCGGCCGCTTCCCCTCATCTCTGTGCCATGCTCCTCGCCCCTGAGGGTGACCCCGACGCCCTTGACATTCCGACTCCTCGCACTTACGCTGAGGCAGTGTCAGGGCCTTGGGCCTCTCAGTGGAGAGCTGCCATGGACGCAGAGATGGCCTCCTACAGATCCACAGGCACCTACGTCGATGAGGTTCCCCCTCCGGGGGCGAACGTAGTCGACGGCATGTGGATCTACAGGGTGAAGCGGCCACCGGGATCTCCTCCGGTCTTCAAGGCACGCTACGTGGCTAGAGGTTTCAGTCAGCGCGAGGGAGTTGACTTCTTTCAGACCTTCGCGCCCACCCCGAAGATGACCACTCTTCGGGTGTTACTACACGTAGCAGCACAGAGAGACTACGAGTTACACTCTCTCGACTTCTCTACTGCTTTCCTTCAGGGCAGTCTTCACGAGGAGGTCTGGTTGCGTCGTCCCTCTGCCTTCACTGGCTCTTTCCCTCCTGGGACCCAGTGGAGGCTGAGGCGACCGGTTTACGGTCTTCGTCAGGCTCCTCGTGAGTGGCACGACACCCTGCGTTCTACCCTGTCTGACCTTGGGTTCCAGCCGTCTTCTGCTGACCCGTCGCTGTTCGTTCGTCGTGGCCCCACACCTTTCTTTGTTCTGGTCTACGTTGACGACCTTGTTTTCGCCACCCCTGACAGGGTTGCTTTGGCACACGTGAAGTCCGAACTGCAGAAGAGACACACCTGCACTGATCTTGGTGAGCTGCGCCACTACCTTGGCCTGCAGATCACCAGGGACAGAGCTGCTCGCACCATTACACTTTCACAGTCGCACATGGTGCAGCAGGTCCTTCAGCGGTTCGGGCTTCAGCACTCCACAGTACAGCGCACACCTCTTGCTGTTGACCACAGACTCACTGGACCCTTTCCTGACGAGCCGTTCGAGCCTAGTGGTCCCTACGCAGAGCTTGTGGGTTGCCTCATGTACCTGATGACCTGTACTCGCCCGGACCTCGCCTTCCCTCTCAGCGTTCTTGCGCGCTTTGTTGCGCCAGGGAGACACCGTCCTGTTCACTGGAGCGCAGCTGTGAGGGTGGCGAAGTACCTAGCGACGACGTCAGGCGTGGGGCTAGTTCTTGGAGGGCAGCAGTCTGTCGTACTTACTGGTCACTGTGACTCCTCTTACGCTGACGACGCTGAGACTCACAGGTCTACTCAGGGGTACTGTTTCAGCCTGGGTTCTGGAGCTGTTTCCTGGCGGTCCACGCGCTCCTCTTCGGTCTCGACCTCTACAGCTGAGGCTGAGATCTACGCTGGTGCCATGGCGGCACAGGAGCTGCGTTGGTTGACCTTCTTGCTCACCGACCTTGGTGAGCGGCCGAGCTCTGCACCGACCTTGTTCACTGACAACAAGGCGTCTATTCTCCTTTGTCGAGAGCCACGACTGGAGAGCAGAGTGAAGCACATTCACGTCAGGTACTTTCTTCTGCGAGAGTTGCAGAGGCGTGGACAGGCTCGCTTTGAGTTTGTGGAGTCCGAGGCCAACACTGCAGACATCTTCACCAAGGCGCTTCCGCCTTGTGACCACCAGAGGTGCTGTGTGCAGTTAGGCCTTGTTGACACTGGTTCTCGTGTTGCTTAGACTTGAGTGTACTGTTTACTTTGCTTTCTATATACCTCTGTTACTTCTTGGACTGGCCTTGTGGCCACTGTTGTTTGTGCTCAGACTGTGTGGTGACGTTGTGATCCACCCTGAGCTTCGTTTCTTGGACTGGTCTTGTGACCGTACTCGTGTGGTTCTGCTAGACACCCCTCACTTAGGCTATGGGGGTGTGTCAAATGTTGTAGCCTATAGTGAGGTTTGTCTTAGGGGGTACAAAACTTAGGGTTAGCTATATGTACCCCAACCAACATCAATGCATCATCCATTCTTCATTCTGACATCAGGGTCCTGCCAAACCGAGACTCCTGCTGCACCTCCAGCTCACACTGCCATCCGTTTGTCAAACAGCCTGCTGAGTTGGGTGCATGCGCATTTCCTGCAAGTGGTGAGACAGCTCGCCCACCACCCAGTGCTTCTCCGCGTCACTCAGAGTCGTGCCGAATTGGTAGTCCTGCTGCTGCTCCACAAACACACATACCAGATTCGGCTCCTCAGCCACTGGTTGATACTTTGCCCCATGCATTGGGGGGGTTGGCAGCGGTGTTGCACCTCGATGGCTTGTAACCGTGATGTGTTGCCGCACTGCTCAGTGACCTTGTTTGGCCACCTGATGGTGATGCTGAAGCGATCCGGTGACAGCACAATGGTTTCGGAATGAATTGCGGGTCTGACGCTGAGAAGGGTGCGCCGAGAGCAGCACGGGAATGGAAGATGGGAGGCAGCGGGAGGGGGAGTGGGCATGGATGTGAAATGCTGAGAGCTGAAGCTAAAAGAAAATTGGACGATTGATTGTGTCTTGAAGGGCTTGCATGCTAAGTGGGTATACGTGATGCGGATTTGACATGCTACGCCTACCGTGCTGCGAGAGGCGGTCTCAAAGGGAGTGAGAGTTGGAGGTACCCACCAGAGGAGGATGCAGAGTGAGATGGGCAAGGAGATGGCGACTTTCACTGCTACCACAAACTGTGAGGGAGGGTGGGGGGGTTGAGAGGGAGGGCGGGGAAACGAGCAGGGAGTGGCTAGTCAGGAGTTTGAACGCAGGAGCAGGTGGGAAAGGGAGGAGCTCTGCTGAAAAGAAATGCGAGGGGAGGGGCTTGCATGGGAAAGGAGCGACTGAGCAATGGATTTGAGTACAAGAGTCCAGATACTTACTGAGTGAGAGAATCTGCTTTTTTGGAAAGAGCCTGAGACGATTGTTTCACTGAAAAGGAGGAGGGCAATGGCTCACTAGAAGGAGAGTGGTGAGCAAGACGATGCACCCAGCTGCTGCGGGTATTCGCACCTCCAGCGCCCCGCCCTCCACCCGTGATATCACCTGCGAGTGGTGGAACTAGGTAGGGGGGAGTCCAGTGCAATGCCACGTCAAACTTCAAGTACCGTGCCCCGTCAGACATCAAGCCGTCTCGTAAGAAGTCAGCTCCGTGGCACCGACACTGCGGTATAGCGCGCTGATAATAACAAGAGGCTTTCTTAAGCATAGTTTTCTTCAGAAAAGAGTAAAGGCAAAACGGGTAAGGCAGCGAAGAGAGAGAAACGCTGATAATACCTAGCGAGGTCCACACCCTAAAGCTGCGCTAGTAGAGCCATCAAAGGACCCCGCGCAAAGATCTATATTACGACATTGCTAATAGCGCATACCACGCGGCTTTTATCGGGTTTGGCACAACGAGCAGGCGACGGCGACGGCGCGAAAATGCCCATCACGGCAGGTGGAGCATCAGCGGCGCTTATCGGAGGCGCAGGCTCCGGTTCAGCTACCTCAAGCGTTGTAGCCGCCGCCTCTTGCGGCTTTTCTTGCGCCGTGCTCCCCGGGTTAGCTGTCATTGCGGTTCTAATTTTAGTCCTACTAGCGGCCTTATCAGCGCGGTCGCACTGGCTCCAGTGGTGGGGGATCTCTGATGGTGTCCCTTGTAGAACGCGATGTTCTCTGTGAAATGGTGGCGAAATGTGGGAAAATGTGAATCTGTGACTGTGAGCAGCATTTGTTCTGTACATTGGGAGAAGAGGGGGGAGGAGGGGATGGGGTAGAGGGGGATGCCTTTTCCGCCATTTTCCACGTTGTCGCGGAAAATGGATGGATCGCGCGGACAGTGGTTGGCGTCGCCTCGCTTGCATCGTATCCCCGCCGTTGACTACAGCGACTGGACATGCAGGGTCATTTCATAAATCCAAACTGCAAGTACGGTATGTGAACTACAAGTATGCAAGAAACACGAGTAAAACACATACTGTACCCCAACCAAGCATGCATACACATCCTTACATGTCATCCAACTGAATTTTATTAATTGTTGCCTTGTAATAGCTATTAGCTGTAGATCAAGTGATCTAAAACACTCTGTGGTAGAGCTATGGGACCCAGTGACCAAAATCTAAGCATAGTATAATACAGCTATGGCCTACGCGTGTTGCTCTGGGTGCACGCACATGCATGGAGTGCAGGGGTTGCATGACAGCTCCCCAGCACTCAGTGCTACTCTGTGTCTCTCAGGTTTCTTGCTAAACTGGGACTGCTGCTGCACTTGCAGCGTCCTCCGCCTTCCTTATGTCATACATTCTGCTGTGCCGGGTGCAGCCGCACGCTCTGCAGGTAATACGACAGCTCGCCCACCACCCAGTACTTCTCCGCGTCACTCAGGTTCGCGCCGAACCTGTGCACGGTGTCCGGCAGCGCAATCACACACAGCAGCTCCGGAGGCTCTGCTGGTGTCTCCTGCGCGCGGGCATTAGCGGTGGCAGCAGCAGCGGCGGCGGGACCACGCCGGGCAGTGGGAGCGCTTCCGCTGGCGGCAGCAGCAGGAGCGGCTGCAGTTGGGGGAGTAGGACCCGGGACGGGAATGCCAGGAGCCATTGTGGAGTGCGGGGGGGGCAGCAGGCGCGGAGCGTTGCGATCGACGATGAGGATGGAGTGGATGAAGTGCGTGCTGCCTTCTCGCCGCTTGGAGAAGCCGTAGCGCGTGTGTACGACGGAGAAGGCGTCGGGGCCGAGCGTGATGGTCTCCCTGCGCGTCGCCACGCCCACCCACGAGATGGTTGATCTGAGAGGGGTGGAACGAGTGGGGGGTGCAGCATGTGAGGTGGGATGGAAGCAGATACAAGAGGCATCGAATGCAAAAAAATGCAATCATCGAATGGAATGAATGAAAAGCGAAACGCTGATGCGAGTGGGATCGATTTCGAGGGGCGGTGAAGGAGGGACGGTGCTGTCAATATTGGTGATGCGGTAGGGCGCGCTCACATGGCGATGCCGAGGAGGAGCCAGAAGGTACCGACGAAGAAGAAGGACGCCGCCACTGCCAGTATCAACTGTGGCGCGCGGTTGGGAGTGGGGGGAGGGGGGAAGGCCGTGGTTGGGAGGGGGAAGGTGACGGAGGTTGAGACGCGAAAGGTGGAACGAGTGGGAGGGAAGCATCTCGTTTGGGGGAGTAGAGGGCATCACCGAAATGCGCTTGCACCGGCACCGAAGGGCGCGGGATAAGGGCGGTTCGATGGGTGAGAGTTGAAGAAGGTGCTCACGAAGAGAGGCGTGAGGAGGCACAAGATCCACCCGACGACGCCGCGTTGGAAGAAGCCCGGCGCGGGTATGCGGACGTGCAGCGCGCCGTCCCTCCTCGCCATCTCCTGAAATGCGCATTGCCATGGGCGCAACGGGAGAAGAATCGTAGCGGAGGAGGTGCGGAAGCACGAGGCTTGGTGGCGTGTTAATAAATGGGATGACGCATCGCGTTACACGATCACATCTACTGATAGTATTTATTAAAATCGAAAAAAAAAAAAAAAAAGAGCAGTCGACGGGCGTACCACGCGGCTCGATTCGGGCTTGCAGTATCGAGGAGTCTGTGAGGTCGCGGGAAATCCTACTGCGGGAATTCCCATTGCGGGAGGGTGCGGAGCCGGGGGGTGAGAGACAGGCGGCGGAGGCGGATGAGCGGGCTCGGACTTGGCAGTTCCCTCGGACATTGCAGCCGCCGTTGCTTGCGCATTTTCATCAAGTTGCGCGTCGCACGTTGCGTTACCCATCGTCGTGGTCGGCAATGCAGGTTGAGCAGCTAGACGGCGCTGGTACGAACTTATGTATTACAGTAGTACTAGAAGTAGGAGGCGTTTGAAGTGCTGAAACGAGGCAAGAGCAGGAAGCGTTGTGTGATTTGGAAATGCTCGCTGATGTGCAAAGCAACTGCGATGGCACAGGTGTTTTGAATGGGTCGCATCGCATCGCACGTTTGGGAGCTCTCATTGGGTCAGTTGAGCACCACGGTGTCGTGTCGTGTCCTCTCATCAGAAGCAGTTCACTGGAACACACGAAGTCGTCCTTCGTTCGTTTAGCTACGGTGCAGTACACTATATTTGGCGATCCAGAAGATTTCAGTGCGGTATATTCCAGCCAGTCATAATTTGCTGGCTGCGCCAGGTGCTGGTTGTTGAGCCTCGCTGGCCCAGCGAGGCAAAAATGTCACAAGCTGACTTGCTGGCAGCGCCTCGCTGGCATGCAATGACCTCCTTGACCTTAGCGACACACAAAAAAGGTGTTGATAGTCAACAGCCAAATTGAATACGAGTTTGCAAGTTTTGAAGTTCGATACACTCACACCAAGAATGTGTGATTCACCCCGTTCTCTGATTTACCTCTATATTAGCTCTTATATGTTCTGGGCCACAGGCAAGTGTCAAACCTTCCAACTAGTGTTCTATACAGAAATTGACTATCTGATATTCAGGTATTACAAAACCTGACTTCTAGGAAGTCAGCGCACAAGCACAAGCTACAGTAAGTAGCTAGAGCACAAACCGTAGTAACAAGCTAGAGCACCAGCTTGATCGCATCATAACACTCGATGACACAGCCAGGCATTAACTCGTGCACCACTACGTTAGACTCCACGTTTTGCTCCTTCAACGTCACCGCCACATGCAACTTGCCGCTCTTCACCCCTTGTAACGGTAACCAGAGCGCATGGCGCTGCCCATCCCGCAACACGTTCAGGTTGACATTCGCATTGCCTATCGACTCGTCAGAAGAGAATGTGTCTCGATCTTTCACAAGAAGTTGAAGGTACGTGACGTCAGGGTCCCAGACAGGAACGGAGACCCTAAACTCCTCGTACCATTTAGGGTTGAGTGTTCGAGAGATATGCTTCGTTTGAAACGTCGCTTCTCCAATTTTGCCAATCGTGTAAGGATCCGAATAACCTGCAAGTAACGAATCAGGAAAGAAGAGTTTGTCACGATGCTCCAAAACAGTCACATCAAGCCATGCGCAGGATCAGCACCAAAAGAAAAAGAAAAGAAAGAACATAAAAAAAGAAAAGCAAAAACCGGAGGAGAACGGCAGCCACAAGCACAAGCACAGGCTCTACCCGATCTCTCACCTGTCATGTCAGCAACGACCAGATTCGTGGCTTCGATAATCTCCACATGTGCCACCCACACCTGCGGCACCTCTTTCTCCACTCCCTGCTGCCCCTGCCCATCACACTCCCCGCCTCCTTCTGCCACCGCTCCTGCCTCTCCAGCCGCCACAGGAGAGTCACTGGCAGGCGGGGGGCTGGAAGGCCCGTAGGAAGAGGCAGCAGGGGGATCAGCCATGGCTGAGAGCTCCTCGCCTGATGGAATGCTGGTCAGTGCACGCGCCTTGCTCACTTGCCTCTTGAACGACCGTGACGCCGACTGGGAAGGTGATTCTGGTGCAGGTGTTACCTGGGCAGCAGCATTAGGGGCAGAGTTAACCCCCTCCTCCCCTCCTTCCACTGACTCATTCTCCTCCTCATCGGTCTCTGCCTGCCCCATGTGATCCTCTACAGTCACAGCCACATGCACCCTCCCTGTAGTCACATTCTCTAGTTTCACCCACAGGTCGTGCCTAATACCGTCCCTGAGCGGCATGATATCGAGGACAGCCATCCCTAGCGGGTCATGCTGAGTCATCATGTCGCGGTCGAAAACATTCAGCTTCAGCAGGAACGGGCTGCCCGCAGGCGGCCATTCCTTCACGGGCAGAGAAAACTTTTCGTTCCATCGCGGGCAGAGCGACTTGAAAATGATTTTGGTGGAGAATTTGGAGGAGCCCAGGGAGCCCTTCAGGTAAGGGTCAGATGTGCCTGCATGGTACGGATCAGGTGAGGTTGCGAAGAAATAAGTTAGCATGGAGAGCAAAGAGGTGGGTAGACCCACACCAAACCGTGAGTGAGTCAGTGCCACAAACTGAGAGAACAATACTCTAAACCCTGAGTCGGAAGCATGCGTACAGGCAACTGCATTTTTTCAATAGCGATGCATCGCGAATGTGTTAACATCTGTGTCACGCATATGTAACACGAGCAGCCTTGCAGGGGTGGCAAACTCACAAGGCCCTATCATATCAGAACCCATCAATTGGTAGCACATAGACTCGAATTTTTGCAACATCTCTGCTGTACCCAACTCGACCGCCCGTGTAAATGGCGGCCTTTATACACCTCCGCATGAGCATCACTGTCATGGGCGTGGCCGTCCAGTCTTCCCGCCACACCGAGCCCTGTCTTTCTGGCAACACAGACTACATCAGAGCTAGCTAGGCTGCTGGTCGACCTCCAGCGCAGCACGGTCGACCACGTTCCAGCGCAGCAATGCTCGCATCGCTCCAGCGCTGCAGAGATGCGGTGCGCCAACGTTGCATGTCCACGGTGTGCCAACACTGCAGCAAGTCGGCTGCACAACGTTGCACCCGCAGGAAAACGGTGCACCTGCTCAACCCCACCCCGGGCCGCCAATCAGCCCTTACAGCAAACAGTCTAGGCACTCACCGGTCTTGTCGGCGGCAACAAGGGAGTCTGCCTCGATCACCTCCACGTGGACGGTCGCCACTGCAATGGCCAAGCTCGCACCGGCCCCCGACCCCAGGCGCCTGAGCGACCCCGCCTTGAACGACCAGCTGCGGCTGCTTGACCGCGGTGTGCCCTCCTTGGGCGTTTTCGGTGCAGGAGCCATGTCCTTGGGAGTTGAGGCCCCAGGGGTGGTTTCCTCAAGCGCCATCAGCTGAGAAGAGGTGCTGTTGCTGCCTGTGCTGGTGTTGTTGCGGCTGTTACGGCTGGCACGGCCGGAGCCCGACAGGCCTCGGAACCAGCTGCTGCTTTTGGAGGTTGAGGAGGAGGAGGAGGGCGTGAGAGATGGGGAAGGGGGGACCTCGGGGGTAGATGCACGGGGAATGACTGTGGGCGTGGGGAGGGTGGGAGGGATGGAGGTCGGTGGGGAAGAGGGGGAGAGAAATAAAATAAGGCTGCGGCAGGTGCTGGACAAGTGCGGCGTGTGGCTGTGGGAGGCAAGATAAAGGCGCAGAAAAGTAAGAAAGAAAGAAAGGAAAAAAAATAAAACGGGAGAGAGTCAAACAAGGTTGCGTTGATTTCGGAGTGCTGAAAAGACAGTGACGTGATGGTGCACTTTTTGAGAATTCTCAAAAAACGCACGCTCGAACATATCACCCTCCCACGGATGTGATGGACCACTCGAATGGCGTTGTGTACCTGTGGCTGTGGTGGGAGCAGCCGCTTGAGCAGCATCCTCTGAGCGGGCAGGAGACACGGATTGGGAGTCATGAGTGTAAGACTCCATCGTGGTCATTGATGCATCTGACGGTGCTCTCTCCACCCCCTTTCCACCCACAGCACCACCACTCTCACCACCACTCTCACCACCACTCTCACCACCACTCTCACCACCAGCACCACCAGCAGCAGAAGCTGAAGGGCCAGCAGGATCGGAATCACTGCTGTTGGGACCAATGCCCCCCCCATCCTCCTTCACCTCTACGGCCACTCTAATCTTCCCCTTCCCACCGTCAACCAAAGGCAGCCACTCTTCCTTTCTCCCAGCCCCCCTCACCGCACTAATGTCCATCTGAGCCCGCCCAATCGCATCGTTTGCCGAAAACATGTCGTAGTCTTTCACGCGCAGTACCAGAGTGTAGCTTTCGGGCAGCGACCAGTCCGCCACGGGCACCTCAAACTTTTGCTTCCACTGTGGGTTAAGGTTTTTCGAGATGACAGCGGTTTGGAAGCGGGCGGCGCCAATCGACCCCTTCACATAGGGGTCAGACGTGCCGCCCGAATCAGCTGCCAAAAGATCCTTTGCCTCAATGACTTCGACCAATAGCGTGGCGACAGCTGGCAAGGCGGCAGTGGGACCTTTCTTGGAAAGGAACTTTTTGGAGATAGCAGAGAGGGTACCTGGGGGCACGTACAGAGGTGGGTGCGGAGAGAGCGGAGGAAGGGGCGAGAGCAGGAAGGGGCGAGAGCAGGAAGGGGCGAGAGCAGGAAGGGGGTTGGTATGGAGGGAAGACAAAGGTTGGGGAGAGCAGAGGAGGCAACTGAATGGGATCCAGAGGGTGTGGAGAGTGGGGAAGTGAGAGAGTGGGAAGAGGGGGAGGCGGGAGGGGGCACAGTACTCAGTCTTTCCCAAGAGAGCACAGCCCTCACTCCCCCCAATCGCAGCACATTCACTTCCTCGTTTCCTTGACAACCATTCGCAGAGTGAAAATGCAAATTTCCTCAGGTACGAAAAGAGGGCAGTGACAGGTGTGTGTGACGCCATGGCACGTCACAAACCGCCATACCTGCTCCTTAGTTAAATGTGCCTCCCACACCTCCCGCTCTCGTGCCCCCAACCCCCATTCATTCTGTCAGCTCCACTCTCTCTGCCAGCTCCACTCTCTCTGCCAGCTCCACTCTCTCTGCCAGCTCCACTCTCTCTGCCAGCTCCACTCTCTCTGCCAGCTCCACTCTCTCTGCCAGCTCCACTCTCTCTGTCAGCTCCACTCTCTCTGTCAGCTCCACTCTCTCTGTCAGCCAGCACCCACCCTTCCCCATCACTCTCTTTGTAAGCACACTATTCACCCGTCCCCTCAGCACCACGCCACTCACTCTTCCCATTGGTAACGGGCCGAGGGGTGACGATGCTGATCTTCTCGGCCGTGGGGGGTGGCACTGGTAGTTGAAAAGCATGAGGGCACACCCCCCACTCACTCCCTCACCACGCACACCCCAGTACCTCTGTCCCACGCCACTCACTCTTGCTCTTGGTGACGGGCCGCGGAGTGACGATGCTGATCTCCTCGGGCGTGGGGGGCGGCACTGGCAGGTCCAGCACGAAGGCCGCTGCCCTCACCGCGTCCACCACCACCAGCCGGTTGGGCTGTGCATGGGGTGGGGTGGGGTGGGGTGGGAAGGGGAGGGGGGAGCAACAGATGTGAAGGGATGGGATGGCACAGGGAGGTATGGTATTGCCAGCCGCAAGGCAGAGTCGTCACTGCATCCACGAGCAACAGTGGGTTGGGGCATGAATGGGAGGCGAAGGAATGGCATGGTTGCCCGCTACGCCACGGCAGGTATGGCATGAGGGTACTACTGGTGGTGGCATGGGGCATGTGACATGGCATGGGGGTATGTGACATGGCATGGGGGTATGTGACATGGCATGGGGGTATGTGACATGGCATGGGGGTATGTGACATGGCATGGGGGTATGTGACATGGCATGGCGCGGTTTGGTGTGAAGCAACAGCCATGAACATGCGGAGGGAAGGGGCAAAGGCACGTACCCAGCAGAGGGACGTCTTGAGGGCGTTTTGAAGCGTGTAGTCCTGCTCGCCACCCAAGGGTGGCAGGGGGAGGGCAATGGCAGGGGGAGGGCAATGGCAGGGGGAGGGCAATGGCATGGGGAGGACAATGGCATGGGGAGGGCAATGGCATGGGGAGGGCGATGGCATGGGGAGGGCAATGGCATGGGGAGGGCAATGGCATGGGGAGGGCGATGGCATGGGGAGGGCAATGGCATGGGGAGGGCAATGGCATGGGGAGGGCAATAGCATGGGGAGGGCAATGGGATGGGGAGGGCAATAACATGGGGAAGGCAATGGGATGGGGAGGGGCAATGGCATGGGAAGGGCAATGGGATGGGGAGGGCAGTGGGATGGGGAGGGCAGTGGGGATGGGGAGGGCAACAGGAATAGCACACATAGGCAAAGCATGACTCCTAAGCACGGGGCATGAGCATGAAGCATGAGCGTAACCCAACAGCAAGGGGCATGTCCATCCCCTTGCAGTGTGACTCATCCCATCCCACCCATCCCATCCCATCCCATCCCACCCCACCCCACCCCACCCCACCCCACCCCACCCCACCCCACCCCACCCCACCCCACCCCATCCCATCCCATCCCATCCCACCCCACCCCACCCCACCCCACCCCACCCCACCCCATCCCATCCCATCCCATCCCATTCCATCCCATCCCATCCCATCCCACCCCATCCCATCCCATCCCATCCCACCCCATCCCACCACACCTCAACCCACCCCAACCCCTCCCATGCCATGCACGCACCACATAGGAAGCCACAAGCGGCATGCTGGCAGCGTCGAGGGCGCCCATGACCTTGATGGCGCACGACACCTGCGGGGGCCTCACGAAGCTCAGCGTCACACGGTCCACAAAGGGCAGCGAGCGGCGGAACCGCAGCCCTACCCGCATCTGCAGGGGGCGGGTGGGGAGAGGAGGGGGTAGAGGGAGGAGAGGGGATGGGGAAGGAGGGGAAGGGAGGGAAGAGTGGCATTCGTGTGAGCTGCAGTCCTGCTCCCAACACTCAACACGCATGATCATCTGAAAACATGAACCCCCTCCCCACAATGCCATGTGCCCTTCTCCTACCATGCCAGTGAGCTGCAGCCTGGTGATGTGCGCGGTCCAGGGGATGCTAGCCATGCTTTCCAACCCCAGGCTCAAACTTCCTTCTCATCACCTAGAAGCACTCATCACCAAGCCAAACCCCCACCATGCCATACCGTGCCGGTGAGCTGCAGCCCAGTGATGTAGGCGGTCCAGGGGATGCTAGCCATGCCCGCCACATATGCCGTGGCCTGCACGCTCATGTTGTCCGCACCCACTATTTCCACACTCGCCTCCAGCTCCTGGCGATGGAAGGGATGAAGTGCGGAGAGTTGGAGAGGAAGGGGCGAGGCGAGGGAGTGTGGAATGGTGGTGCATGCAGCACCGCACACTCCAACACCTTGTAAGCGGGGTGAGGCGAACGGGTGAGATGAAAGTGGCAGAGATTTGAAGAGGTGAGGCAGCAAGGAAGTGACGGTGCTGGCTTGCACACTACAGAGAGGATGGTACTCGGCAAGCATGGAATGTTATCGCCTGCTCCTAGACACGAAGATAATGGGCAGGGATGGGCAAGGAGGGCGAGAGTAAGCAGGAAGGAGGAAGCAGATACTCACCACATGCTACCAGCAGCACTCACTCACTCTCCCACTCACTCATCCACTCACTGCCCACTCTCTCTCACTCACTCACTCACCACATGGTTCCGCCCGCCTCCTTCCCGGAACGCCTTGATGGATGTGATGACGGGCGCTGTGTCACCGAAGTTGGCCTTCACCACCTCCACCTTCGCCTGTCATGGGAGGAAGAGACGCATGCACGCATCAGACACACAAGTGGCATGTGGCAGCCACATGCATTTCCATCCCCTATGCCTCAGGGATTTGGGTGGGAAGGACAGACAGTGAGTCACTGACAGACACTGACAGACACTGAGAGATGCTGTACGTCCGACACTAACAGACGGATATGGAGGCATGGAGCAGCATGGGAGAGCATCCGGCATCGGGTGGGAAGGTAGAGGCGGATGGACGCACGAGCATGGGCGGCTTGTATCGGGAGAGGAACCAGGGCGCGACTTTGGGCATGAGCTTGGTGGACATCAGGTCGTTGAGGAAGAGCGGCCACGCCTTGGACAGCAGCACTGATGCCCAGAAGGCCGTCTCCGCCTCGGGCATGGCCTGATGGTGGACAGACGCAACGAGGAGAGAGAGGTGGGAAATTTTCAGTTGACTCAAAAAGGCATGAGTTTGGTGGACACCAGGCCACGCCTTGGACAGCAGCACCGACGCCCAGAAGTCCGTCTCCGCCTCGGGCATGGCCTGCGTTGTGTGTCGTAAGGAACAGGGCGCGGGGAGCAGAGTGGGAGTGAGAGAGCGGAGGTTGAGGAAGGGGGGCCAAGCCTTGCCCAGCAGCAGTGGGCATGTTTTTCACCCTTCTAGGTCTAACAACTGAAAGGCTTCTTTCACTGCTATCACCCCAGACACAGTACATGAAGAACACCCTAAAAGGCTGTTGAGCTGTGCTGCAGTTGTCTCACCCGGGACATGAGCTGCTCGATGCGTACGGCGGCTCTGACTGCCACTTTGAGGCGCTCGTAGTGGTGCGCCCACAGCTGCATGCATGGGTGGCAGGAAGCGGAAGAGGGGGGCGGAATAGCAAGGGCGGTTGGGGTGGAGACGGAGGGGATGGTCACTTTCCGGAGCTTGTAGTGGCGCGGCTGCACCAGCATCAGTGAGAGAAAAAAACAAGGGTAACGGAAAAGCATAGCAGCAGCAGCAGCGGCGGCGGCGGTGGCGTACCAGCCAGAAGTAGAGCACAGCCCAGGGCAGCAGCAGCAGCGAGAGGAGGAAGCCCGTCTGGCAGAGCAGGAACGTGAGCCCCACACCGATGCACACATGCGCCAGCATCGGCCACTTCACCACCTCCCCCACCGCCTGCCGCCCGTGCGCCGCCCACAGCTGCCGCCCGGCCTGCGCCGCCCCCTGTGCTGCTGGTCCCATGCTGAAACGGAGGGCAAGGAAGGTACGAGAGTAGAAGCAGGGAGTGAAACAAGGGAAGTGTACAGCACAGTCGCCTGAACAACCAGCTGTATTCTTCTCTACACTCGTACTGTCCTCGCCCTCCATAAAAAGCATACAGCCGTTATCTTAGAATCACGGGGGTTATGCAGCGTACGCTCCCCCGCCCCCTTCCCCGCTCCCAACCCCGCTCCCTCCCCCGCTCCCTCCCCCGCTCCCTCCCCCACTCCATCCCCCGCTCCCTCTCCCGCTCCCTCCCCGCTCTCTCCCCCGTTCCCACCCCCGTTCCCTCCCCCGCTCCCTCTCTCCCTCCCTCCCCCCCTCCTTTTTCCCCCCCTCTGACTCACTTGTGAATCGCATGGTCGATAGCAGCCACTGCGCGCGCTCCTATTCCCTGCCGTCTGAGCCAATCAGAAGCCACGGCGAGAGCTGCCTCTATGGGGTTCTCGGCTGGTGGCGATGTGGACGGCGAAGATGCATTGGACGGTTGAGATTCGGATGGTCGGGATCCGACGGGCGGCAGTGGAGAATCCCCGACCTCACGCTTATCACCGCCATCGCCATCAGCAGCCCCGCCTACTGCCTTGGTGAATCCCTTAGCTGATTCGTCTGCTTCTAAGGGAGGAAGAGCAAAGGCAACCCTCTTAGACGTGCCTGCTTGGCCCGCATTTAGGCTCCCCTCGTTACTCCCCATCTCGTCTGCCCCACTGCTTCCAGCCTGGACGGATTCGTTAGTGAGAGACTCGTTTCTAGCCTTTCTAAAAATGCTCCCTGTCGCTTTACTGGCGTCAACTGCAGGCGAAGGGTCTGGAGCAGCAGTGGTGGCGCTGATAGGAACAGCGGTGGTGCTGGGCATATCAGGTCGGACAGTGGGACTAGGTGCACTTTCCAGACGAACACCTGTTTCCTTCACATCCGCTTTCTTCACATCTGCCTTCTTAGCAGTCGTCGCCGCACCTGCTGCCGGTACACCCCGGTTCGTCGCGGACGAAGTCGCAGACCCTGATGACGGCGGCAACCGCACACTGCACGCATGCGAGGAAGAACGGAAGGAGGGAGTTGACTTAAACGTGCACTCAGGAATCGCGCAGTGTTGGCGTGTTGAGTTTGATAGTAAGCGCGGAAATAAACAGGGAGGACTTCGCTCTTCCAGCCTAAGGTCCACAAGATAGGCCCTCATGAGCTATGGATTGGCATTCACGGGCGCTTCGGCATAACATCAACCAGAAACTTTTTGTGAGGTAAAGCTGGGACATCTCAAACGATTGCCATAAAGAGATTGATATCGTCAAGGTAAAATGCTGTCCTGATATACCTTTTCTGGGACGGAGACGCGAGTTTCTGCTTTAAACTGTTGTATTCCTCGTCATCTCCACCGAATCCTGGTAGGCCTAAGCTTCCGTTGCGAAACATGGCGGCTCGCAGCTAATACCTCCTACATCTATGGCTTCAAGCCTTCCAACATGCACTTACTGGTAACGCGCTCAGCACGGCGCGCGAAGGACTGAAACTTAGAATGTAAGGTTACGGGAAAGGATACGGAGAAGGAAAAGGATTTGGAAGGGAATGTATGGTGGAGTGATTTGTGTTTCTACTAGCTGTAGTGGACTTTTACATGACCTACAACAGTGCAGTGTGGAAATGTCTCCGTTTCGCTTGTGAACCTCTGTGCTCTTGGGCATGGGTGTTCCGTCTGTCCGTCCGTGTGATCCGAGGGGACCCCAAGAGCAGCATGCACGTTCCTGCATGTGCTTTCGTGCCGCATCGACGATCTTATCAAACCACGGGAAATCCCATCCGTCGAATTTCCTCGATTCTCACAACGTACTCCGCATGCCGAGTTGTAGCCTTACCCCATCTCCTATAACAGCTTGCGAGCATATTAAACTACTGAATCAGGGCATGCATATAGTCTTACAGTTTATGGACCTATCACATAGCAAACAAGCACAGCGGCCACATAAAGTGCGTGTCATACCGATTATTACATGGTTTATTTACTTTGTAAGACTTCATGGACCGATCTCCTAGGTTAAGGTGAAAACCATTCCCAAGCACACAGGGGCTTGCTGGGTCAGGTAGGCGGCAGGTCCCTGCACAACACACCACACACCACTCAGGATGCGCTGCGAGTGTGCTGCACGAAAGCAAACAGAGATGATCTGTTCTCTGTTTCGCAAAGCGAAAGGTACCCTAGAAAAGCAGTAGTTATGACTGCTGCTCTGTTTTTAGCTCCACATCATACAGTGCTGCCATACATCACTCTAAACATTAACTTGCTCTGGGTTCATGCGCATTGTATGCAAGTGGTGCGACAGCTCGCCCACCACCCAGTACTTCTCTGCGTTATTCAGGAGCTTGCCAAAATGGTACTCCTGCTGCGTGTCAACAATCGCACACACCAGCTCTGGCTGAAACCCTGCCGGCACCCTTGGGCTGGCAGCAGCATCTGGACTGTGCATGGCGGGGGCAGGAGGAGGGAAGGGGCCGTGTGCAGCGATGCTATGCACTGGGGGGGTGGCAGCGGCTGTGGGGAGTCCAAGTCCCGCACCATGATGGCTTGCACCCATGGCGTGCTGCCCTGCCTGTGCTTGCCCGCGCCGAGGGATGTGATGGTGACGGTGAAGAAATCGGGCGACAGGACAATTGTCTCTGAGTGAGTTGCGCCTCTCATCCATGCATGGGCGAAGCTGACACATGTGGGGTGTGGCAGGGAGCAGCAGGGGTGTGGAACGTGGGAGGCAGAGAGGAGGGAGTGTACATGAGACAGGGGTGAAAAGCTAGGACTGTAATTTGGAGTTGGATGCTTTGGTGTTGATGGGGGGCTTGCATGTGCGACATGTGGTGATAAGTGCGATGTGACAAGCCATTGTGACATGCTTCACCCATTGTGACATGCTTCACCCATTGTGACATGCTTTGCCCATTGTGACATGCTTCACCCATTGTGACATGCTTTGCCCATTGTGACATGCTTCACCCATTGTGACATGCTTCAGCTACCATATCAACACATAAGCAGTCTGATGCTCGGGTTCGCAATGTGAGGTCCCCCACTCAATTTCGGTATGCAAGCTACCTACTCAAGTTCTGCAACGCACTTACATAGCAGACACGATGAATACAAAAGGGATGCAGATAGTGAAGGGCAGGAGCATAGCGGCTGGCACTGTGAATAAAGCCTGCAAGGGCAGGGCGCGTGAGGGGACACACGGTGGAGTGGGATAAGGAGCGGTCGGGCGAGATGGAGGGTTTAGCAGGGGGGCGAGAGGGGGGGGATTGGGAGAGGGGAAGGGGGATATGGGGCGGTGGCTGAAGTAATTGCCTCGGTTACGTTTGATTGGAGGATTTGGTTGCGACTTGGACCAATTTGGTGGGTAACGAATGGGGCGATGGTCACACTGAAGCTAGCTTGCAAGAGAGTCGCGCGGGGAGAGCAGAGGGGGGATTGGGGGAAGAGAGAGCAGGTGGGAAGGGGGATGGGAGGAGCTTAGATGAGAAGCAACGCGACATGATGTGAGGCGCGCGCTTGCATGGAAGGGAATGCGCGGGAGGAGATGCTGGGAGGGGATGCTAGGAGGGGATGCTGGGAGGGGATGCTAGGAGGGGCTTGCTGGGAGAGGCTTGCTGGGAGGGGCTTGCTGGGAGGGGATGCTAGGAGGGGATGCTGGGAGGGGAGCGACCTACAGAAAAGAAACGGAGGGAGAGAGTGGCTCTTTACACGCGCAGTGAGGGGTGGCTCTTTACACGCGCAGTGAGGGGTGGCTCTTTACACGCGCAGTGAGGGGTGGCTCTTTACACGCGCAGTGAGGGGGTGGGCGGGCGTGACGAGCAGGCGGCTTACGACGAAGGCGGTGAGGATCCACGCGCAGGTGCCGTCCTGGTAGTACTCTCTTGGGGGGATGCGCACCTCGAGCGCCCCAGCCTCCCCCTGTGAGATCACCTGCGGACGGCGCAGCATGTGGGGAAGATGGGCGCTGCTGAAAAGAAAATACTGAACAGTCCTCATCAAGGCCCTGTCGAGCAAGACGTACTATCTAATAACGCGCGGCGCACTGTTACTATGACTAGTAGTAGCTGCATGATGCCTGCCAAAGAAGAATAAACGTTGTCCGTACCACGTTGCTATTTTCGGGTTTGGCGCAACGAGAAGGCCACGGCGACGCCACGGGGATGCCCATCACGGGGAATGGCGGAACAGGTTGGGGATAAGGCGGAACATATTGAGGGAGAGCGGAAGGTATTGAGGGAAAAGCGGAACATTATACTGGGGAAGAGGCGAAACAGGGTGCGGGATAGTGGGTGCGTGACCGGCAGGCAGGGTATTTGCGTCGCTAATCCGAGGCGCAAGTTCCGTTTCGACTCGTTCGGGCATTGCAACCGCCGCCGTTAGTGGCTCTTCTTGCGACGCGCTCGCCAGTCTCGCCGTCATTGTGGCTATAAACTTTAATGCAATCTTTTCGACGTACTAGACGCATGCGCTCCTACAATTGTGGGAGGAAAAAGCTGCGAGGTGTATGCGAGATAGTGGCTGACGACACGATGCCAGAATCAACTCTGCGGGGGAAATTTCTACATCAGCAGCAGCGCCACCATCGTGTGAGAGGGCTTGGCTTGGGGAAGGAGGGGAGGGGGAGTGGGAGGTTGCAATTGCGCGCGCGCAATGTGCATGACTCCCTTGCTCGCATAACGACCGAAAACTCGACGTGCGGGAGCACGCCTTGCATGGTGGGTTGCATGCGTTGCATCGCTGGCATGAAGTCACGCGCGTTGACCCCAACGACCATACCGATAATGTTTCAGTAACATGCTGAACATTGAACTCTATACAGTATGTAATCAGAGTATTTTGAACAGGGAGAATTCTATGAAGTCACGATGCATGAACTCTTCCATAGAGCAAACACATTTAGTCTCTTTCCACTGTGTCCCTCGTTTTGGAAAGGTAAGATTTCCAGAAACTGATTTGAGTGTCCATGTGATACCTCAGGTTGTCTAGGAGGAACAAACCACGAAGCCTAAGCTCAGTCACGAAAGGCCCTAGGAAATCCCAACTGTTTGTCTGGGTGTCCCAAAGTGTATCATGTTTTGCAAACCAGAACCCTGGATGAAAACTGAATATTTGTTCATGATATATAATGACTGCTGCTCAGCTTCCACAGCATATAGGGGTTCCATATTTCGCACGCTAAACATTTTGTTGCTCTGGTTGCATGTGCATGGTATGCAAGTGGTGAGACAGCTCGCCCACCACCCAATGCTTCTCCGCATCAGTCAAGGTCTTGCCAAACCGGTACTCCTCCTGCTCCATCCCAACAATCATGCACACCAGCTCTGCCGGCTTAGCTGCTGAGCGCGTGACAGGGGCAGGAGGAGGAGGGATGGGACCTTGGGCAGCGATGCTATGCACTGGCGGAGGTGGTAGCGGCTGTGGGGAGTTTGGGTTCTGCACGACGATGGCGCGCACCCTTGGCGTGCTGCCCTGCTTCCGCTTGGTCGAGCCGGAGCTTGAAGTGGAGATGGTGAAGAGCTCGGGTGACAGCACAATGGTCTCCGAGCGAGTTGCGCCATTGATCCATGCAAAGGAGCAGCTGAAAGGGGTGCGGCGCGGCCGGGAGCAGCACGGGCGTGGAAGGTGAGGCAGAGAGGAGGGAGTGAGTATGCTGTGTGAAAAGCAGGTAGAGGAAGTTTGGGACTGGACTCTTGGATGCCATGTGGGGCGTGCATGTGCAACATGTGGCAATAAGTGCGATGTGAGAAACCAATGTGACATGCTGCAGCTACCATATTCACATAAGCAGTCGGACCTCAGCTGCAGGATGTGAAGCACCGACTCAATTATACGATGCAAGCTACCTAGTGCGATTCAGCAAGGCACTGACACGGTGAAGCCGCAGAGGATGCAGATGGTGAAGGGCAGGAACATGGCGACCGCCACTGCAACTGCAACCTGGTAGTGCAGGGCGAGGTGAGAGGGTGGAACGAGGGAGAGGGCGCGCGGTGGAGCGGGTTAAGGAGCGGTCGGGTGAGAGGGAGGGTTGAGCAGGGGGATTCGGCACGAGAAGGGGGGAATGGAGAAGGGAGTGAGGAGGTGACTGTAACTATTCCTTGGGTTATGTTTGGTTGGAGGATCTGGTGGGGACCCGGACTCTGTTTGGTTGGTGGGGAAAGTATGGAGCGATGGTCGCACGCAGTGAAGGTAGCTTGCTCGAGAGTCGCGAGGGGAGGGCAGGGGGGGGGGGGGGGGTTGGGATTGGGGGGAGAGTGGGGAAGAGAGAGCAGGTGGGAAGGGGGATGGGAGGAGCTTAGATGAGAAGCAACGCGACGCGATGCGAGGAGCTTGCATGCGACGGAATGCGAGGGGAGGGTATGCATGCGAGGGTAGAGGCTTGCTGGGGGGGCCTTTCTCATAGGGGCTTGCTGAGGGGGCCTTGCTCATAGGGGCTTGCTGGGGGGGCCTTGCTCATAAGGGCTTGCTGGGGGGGCCTTGCTCATAAGGGCTTGCTGGGGGGGCCTTGCTCATAAGGGCTTGCTGGGGGGGCCTTGCTCATAAGGGCTTGCTGGGGGGGCCTTGCTCATAGGGGCTTGCTGGGGGGGCGTTGCTCATAGGGGCTTGCATGGGAGGGTCGCATGGAAGGGGAGAGAGCGACAAGAAACGGAGAGAGGGTGTGGTTCACAACACGTGCAGTGTGGGGGGTGGGCCTGTGAGCAAGGAACTGAGCAGTGGGCCTGTGAGCAAGGAACTGAGCAGTGGGCCTGTGAGCAAGGAACTGAGCAGTGGGCCTGTGAGCAAGGAACTGAGCAGTGGGCCTGTGAGCAAGGAACTGAGCAGTGGGCCTGTGAGCAAGGAATTGAGCAGTGGGCCTGTGAGCAAGGAACTGAGCAGTGGGCCTGTGAGCAAGGAACTGAGCAGTGGGCCTGTGAGCAAGGAACTGAGCAGTGGGCCTGTGAGCAAGGAACTGAGCAGTGGGCCTGTGAGCAAGGAACTGAGCAGTGGGCCTGTGAGCAAGGAACTGAGCAGTGGGCCTGTGAGCAAGGAACTGAGCAGTGGGCCTGTGAGCAAGGAACTGAGCAGTGGGCCTGTGAGCAAGGAACTGAGCAGTGGGCCTGTGAGCAAGGAACTGAGCAGTGGGCCTGTGAGCAAGGAACTGAGCAGTGGGCCTGTGAGCAAGGAACTGAGCAGTGGGCCTGTGAGCAAGGAACTGAGCAGTGGGCCTGTGAGCAAGGAACTGAGCAGTGGGCTTACGAGAAAGGGGGTGAGGACGCAGAGGATCCACCCCGCGGGGCCGTCCGGGTAGAACCCTGCTGCGGGGATGCGCACCTCGAGCGCCCCGCCCTCTCCCTGTGAGATGACCTGCGGGCGGCGCAGAGGATAGGGAGATATGGGAGCTGCTGAACCGCCGGCGCCGTGTGTGGGTGGCGCTTTACATGTTCCAGCCCTGAAAGAGCAGCATGGCTACGTGCGAACCGACACGCGACGCGGGCAATGCGATGCGGAGACGAAAACACGGAAAATCCTCATCGAGGCGGAAATTGCCTACGGGGCAAGACGTGGTATCGAGTACCCGCGCGCGGCGCACTGTGCTACTAGAAGTACCGGCTTGATCCCTGCTATTCAAAGAAAACCGTTGTGCATACCACGCGGCTATTCTCGGGTTTGGCGCAACGAGCAGGCAACGGTGACGCCACGGGAGTGCCCATCACGGCGACTGGCGGAACAGATTGGGGATAAGGCGGAACAGGCCCGGGATAAGGCGGAGCATGTTGGGGATATGGCGGAACAGGTTGGGGATATGGCGGAACAGATCCGGGATAAGGCGGAACAGGTCCAGGATAAGGCGGAACAGGTCCGGGATAAGGTGGAACAGGTTGGGGATATGGCGGAACAGGTTGGGGATATGGCGGAACAGGTTGGGACGATGCAGCCGCCGCCGTTTGTGGCTCTCCTTGCGGCGCACTCGGAAAGTCCGCTGTCATTGTGGCTCTCGTCAATCTCCTCTTTCGGCGTGCCGGACGGAAGCTCGTCTACAATGGTGGGAGGAAGGAGGTGCGACGTGTAGGGGAGATGGTGACTGACGGTATGCGTGATGGGAATTCACTCTGCTGGCAGAGCTTCTTCCACAGTACCAACCAACCAACAACAGCGTTCAGGGAGCGGAGAAAGGGAGTTTGGGGGAAGATAAAGGGGGAATGCGGGTGGGGTGGTTTCGCCGCTTGCCACCTTTGCGCAGTGCGCATGGGTTGCTCGCAACCGTTCAGTGTTTTCGACGTGCCGCAGCACGTCTTGCGATGCGATCCCTTTGGTTGTCGTCGCCTTGCTGGAGCGTGAAGTCCGGAATATCAATAGTACCAGTGTGCAGAACTGAGTCTGGAGTACGCAGCATGCTAGTTATCAAGTCAAAAGTAATGATGTATGAACTCTTACAATAGCAAGCATTTCCACGTGTCACCTATTTCTTCCCAATGCCATTCTGCGTGGACATTGTTCAGCAAGCACATTGCAGAAACCTTAGGGCACTGTACAGCAATGTAGCCTTCAATTTTAAAAGCAAGGCCTGGACTACTAGAGACTACGTATTGTATGCTAGCTCAGGATTCGTAGAACTAACTTATGTCAACTGTTAATGCTGACAAACTAACCCGCCTCCTATGACCTGGCTTCGAATGCGTTGCAGATTTTCTGCTGGCCATGCAAACCCCAGTAGTGGTATGAGCCTCAGGGATTGAGCACTTGATTTCTTGTGTCCTTACATCTGCTTCCCATGCATGTCGGAGCATGCTTCGGGGGCCTGCTCCTGCAGAAGGAACGGTTACACAGTCGAGCGCGGAAGCGTGTGGAACACTCTCACTTGCGGAACGGGAGAACCCTGTCCTGCTGCCTGAGGCATGCGATGGAAATGGATGCTGTTGGCAGCTTGGAAACACAAACGAGTTGCATCTGCTGCTGCTGCTACCTGCTAACCCCTTCTTACTGCTGGGTGATAGTGCTGCTCTTGTGCCAACCACAGCAAAATCCATCTCAGCACCTGATTGGTCCAACAGAGAGCCTTTCTCCCTCTGCGACTGCTGCTGGTGTCCATGTTTTCGCTGGCTGATTTGTGTTTTCCCCAAGTCCATCAGCGACTGGACGCTCTCTCTTCCGTCAGCACCAGTAAACGCCATATTCACCACGGCAGAATCGAGGCTCTTTCGACTCTGATTCCTCAGAACAGTGCAAGGCGCATTCCCTGCATTCCCCTTGATAGCAGCACGAGATCCCAACGCTGCTGCTTTGGGACTTGGAAGCAGCGCCTCAACTGATGTGATATCATGATTTAGGAGCATGTCAGCACAGCCGGGCGCATTAAGGCGGCCCTCATGCTCATCAGCAGCTACCACAGCACATGTCTTGTCGTTGGTAGTGGACATGATATCGCCACCAGCCCATCGGATACTGCTGCCACTGCCGCTCTGAGATGTGAACTTGGGGCTAGAGCCGTTGCCAGACCCAACCTTTGGGAAAGAGTTGCTGCTTGATCTGATGATACTGCTACAGCTGCTGCGAGTCCCATCCTTGGGGCTACAACCGCTGCCAGGCCCAGCCATGGAGAGGCACCCACTTCTTGATCTGGCAATACTGCTACAGCCACTGGCACTTCCATCCTTGGGGCTAAAACCGCTGCCAGACCTGACAATGCTGCTACAGCCGCTGCCAGTAGAGCTACAACCGCTGCCACTCCCCATCCTCGGGCTACAACCGCTGCCAGTCCCCATCCTAGGGCTACAACCGCCGCTGGCGGGTTTGGAGAGCACTTTGGCGAAGGCGTTGGAGACGATGGCTCGCTCTGCTGCGCGGTGCTGGGCGACCAGCCCGTACAGCTTCACGAACTCCTCGTCCGAGTCGTACGCCTCGCTCCCCTCATCATCCAAGCGCGCCAAGCCGCTCTTCCCTTTGCTTCTCCTGTCGCTTGTCGCAACCGTACCCCTCATAGGACCGCTCTCTTCCTCTCTCTCAGGAACCTGTGTTGCTGATCCAGCGGTGGTTGACAGGCTTTGAGCAGCGGGGAACGCGGGTCGGCGGTGAGAGGTGAGCGAGTCGGCCCGGCTGAGCTCCACGCCGTTTGCGCTGATGCTGCGCGGGTAGTCGCCGCCGCCGCCCAGGGAGTATCGCCGCGCGTGCCCCGTGCGCTTCAGCAACGGCGGCCCGCTGTCCAGAAATGCGGGTTTCCCCGGCTTCTCTTTGCCGATGCCTCCGTTGTTCATGCACACCTTGCTTCCAGCGGCTTTCGCTCGGCGCGCTCCAGAACTCGAATCCAAAACGGAAGACTCAGAGAATTTTGGGCTTGGGCTGGATTGCGAAGGTGTTGTGGCGGAAGGAGAAAACGGTGGGAGGATGACGGGGCTCGTGGGAGAAAGAACGCCTCTGGTCCAAGGTGAAGTGAGCGGCTGAGTGGTGCAGTCCGGTGCAACGCGGTTGACGTCCTCCGACGTGGAATCAAGGGAAGTAAGGTCCGGCAGGGACGGCGAAAGGCGCATCTTTGGTCCTCCCATGGGTGATCCTCCGACTCTGAGCGGCGTGTTGTCATTTCCGCGCGACCCACCATGACGATCCGAGGCATCGCGTCGCGTCAGAAATCCCTTTCCGCGGCCTTGGATCAACGGCGCGCTTTCCATGGTGGGAGACAGCATGGTAGCGCGACCCTAATGCGAGAATAAAGTTGATCGTTGCGTGGCTTGGCTTGCTCAAGACATGAAGAGCGAGTGGGCTTGCTGTAGTCACGATGCGTCGATTTGCGACTATGAACGAGCGGCCGGCGTAAATGAATGCTAGAAACGTAAGTGCCCATAACGAGGGAAAGGTGGAGCAACGTTCGAATGGCACAAGTCACGCGACGACGGAGGTGACGGGTGGAATGGGTTGGGTCAAGACCAGATGCATGGAGGAGTGTTGCCAGCAAGCACCAGCAAGGGAGAAAACTAGGTGCGTGGTGGTGGCGAGAGGAAACCTGTTCAACAGGCGGAGCAGAGTTGGGAGGTGGTGGGGAATCGATTTTTTTGCAGCTGTCCGAGCCGACGGCCTGATGCCTCGCGGGATTCACGAACCAAACCACTGTACCCACGAGCTTCGCATATCGACCGATTATTGGCTGGAGCCCTCCTGACCCCTGAATGGTGCCAGACTCTGTGGAGCGGTGCCTTGTGGTACAGTCAGGTCACCCCGACCTCCCGGAAAGAAAGCCGATTTCAGGTAGACGCACGTCTGTGCGCCACCTGTAGAGCACACTGTTCTGTAACACGGGAGGTTCTTCTGTCGTACACTGTTCGTGAAAACCGTTTTTTCTCGCCGCGTCGAGCAGGAGCGTGCAGCGGAGTCCGCGTGCTGCCCGTCATGATCGTCCAGCGTAAAAGCCGTCGCTGCAGCTGTTGTGGCTTGTAGTCCGCGTGCTGCCTGTCATGATCGCCCAGCGTACAGTAAAATCTCAGCCGTCGCTGCAGCTATTGTGGCTTGATTCACTTATTGCCACCGAGGAAGATACAAACGTGGAGATTCGAGTTTTTTCTCCATCTCACCCCATACGCGTCAATAGCAGGGGATTGCACAATGAGTCATCGGCACAGCGAAACATGAACTGTAGAATCCACGAGGTGGATACATTGGGATTGCATATTCCTCATTCACTCAGTGAATCTAATTACCATGTCTTAGACCTCCCTCCCGACACTTGGCACTGACACGGCGCAGCATACAGTGAAACAGCGGCTGGCTAACAACGCGGCCACTTTCCACATGTCTCGTCAGCGGCACGTCAAGCCACATAGGCGACCGTAGCTTCCTGGTGCCTTCTCATAACGGATGGCGACACCACGAGGAGCGACGGCTGACGACTCCACCTCACAACATGCCGGCCAGCCGTTACTGCTGGCGTCGACTATCGCCGCTTTAGGAGGCCTCGGCCTGGCGCCCGACTTTGATGGTTTCCTTACCCGCCTCCAGGGGGGTGACTGCGGTGTTGCCGGCGGAGATGCTGATTCCGCGGAATGGGCGGAGCGGAAGGTTCTGGGGGAGGAAATCGCAAATCGGTGCGGGGATGGGGCGGAGCAGGTGCTCGTGCATCAGGCGACCGGAGGCCACAAAAAAGGGCAGGCGCGCGGGGAAGAGGGATTGGCGGAGCGAAAAGCGCCCATATTCCGCGTGGCTCCGCTGAAGGGGCTGGCGCCTGCGCATTTGCGCGAGCATGGGGGACGGCGGGGACGTGGGGGAAGAGCGAGGGGGGAGGGGCGGTGGGCGGCGGAGAGGGCGAGTGAGGAGGAGAGCGTGGTGGCGGTGGGGGAGGCGGGGCTTAGGCGACTGGGGATGTGCGCTGGGGACATGGTGAGGGGATGTGCGCTGGGGACATGGTGAGGGGATGGGGGACATGGTGAGGGGATGAAGGGAATGATGAGAGCGCATGAAGCGCAGGTGGGTACTTGGGATCTAGTGTTAGTGCATGGGTGTCACTGCAAGCAAGCATCACTGGTCCGCTCAACTCCGTACTTGCCCGCGTCTTGAACCTTCTCTCCCCCCACACCCCCCTCCCCCACCACTCCCCACGCCCCCCTCGCCCACCGCTCTCCACCCACTTCCTCCACACCTGGGCAGGTGGCGGTGGCGCTGCTGCCATGCGCGCCAGGCGCACAGGCCACCCAAGTGATGCCCGCGCGCCTGCTGCTGTGGCGACAAGGGACGCGGACGGGCAGCGCCGGCAGACGACACCGCAGCAGCAGCAGTGGGGGAGGCACGGCGTGGGTGTCGCCGCTGCTGGGGTTCAACCTGGGCCTGCCGGGGGGAGTCATGGGGGGGTGGGAGCGTAGTGAGGGGGAGAAGGGGCGCGATGCGCAGGGCGAGTCTGAGGAGGATGACGAGGGGGGGAGTGAGGAGGAGGAGGAGGAGGAGGAGGAGGAGGAGGAGGAGGAGGAGGAGGAGGAGGAGGAGGAGGAGGAGGAGGAGGACGAGGGGAAGGAGTCAGGGCGGGCAGCATGGGCGGCCATCCGCCTGCTCATTCTGCCCCTGCCCGCCCTGCCCCTGCCCGCCCTGCCCTTGCCCGCGCCCTCCCCCATGCAGGCCCCCCCCATGCAGCCCCCCCTGGCAGCGGATGCGGATGGGCGCACGGCGAGAGGGGAGATGGCAGTGCGCGTGGGCGTGGCGAGTGTGGTGCGCCTTGCCCCTGTGCGCTGCCCCTCCGCCCTCCCCCCCTGGCACGCTGTAGGGGGAAGGGGAAGAAGGGGGGAGGGAGCGCGGGGGGGAGAGAGGGGAGATGGCAGTGGGGCGGTGGGAGGGGGGATGGGGAGGAGAGGGAGGGGGAAGGAGGGACATGCATGGGCCAATAGGCATGTGCCACGTCATGAGGAGAGAGAGGGGAGGCGGGATGGGGAGGAGCAGCGCGAGCATGCGGGTATGGGTGGGGAGGAAGGGGCAGAGGAGGAGGAGGGGGAGGAGGAGGAGGAGGAGGAGGAGAGGGCGTGGGAGAGGGAGGCGAGGCAGAGGGAGGTGGACGAGGGGGTGCGGCGGGCTGTGATGCGGCAGCGGTTCGTTGCGGTGGGGGCGTGCTTCCTCACGGTGCTGGGCGGTAGAGCGAGCGTGGCTCGCATGGTGCAGTCTGTCATGGGGGGTCGAGGGGCGGGGGGACGGGGGGGGACGGAAGGAGGAGGAACGAGGAACAGAGGAGGAGGAGGAGGAGGAGGAGGAGGAGGAGGAGGAGGAGGAGGAGGAGGAGGAGGAGGAGGAGGAGGAGGAGGAGGAGGAGGAGGAGGAGGAGGAGGAGGAGGAGGAGAGGGAGGAGAGGGAGGCACGGGTGGTGTATGTGAGGGTGATGGCAGTGCACCCACCCGGCAGCACCATCTACGCCATCCACCGCCACTCCACGCACCTCCTCCTCTCCGCCTCCCTGCCCTCCCCTCTGCCACCTGTCGCGCTGCGATTTGCCGGGGACCTAGCAGGGTTTCCCCCGCCGCCTGAGGCTGGGAGGTTGGTTCGGGTGCTGGCTCCGGCGCTGCTGCCTGTGGGGTGGAGAGGGGAGGGCGGGGAGGGCGGCAGAGGGAGCAGTGTGGTGGGAGGCATGGCGCCATCCGCGTTCAGCTGCGCGCTGCTTCTCGTTGGGCCCTCTGGTGCGTGCTGCTGCTGCTGCTGCTGCTGCTGCTGCTGCCGTGTGTGTGTGTGTGTGCATGCATGAGTGTGTGTGTGTGTGTGTGTGTGTGTGCATGCATGAGTGTGTGTGTGTGTGTGTGTGTGTGTGTGTGTGTGTTCAATGATGCCTGTCTCACCACTATCACGGGCAGCTCCAGCACTTGCCAAGTGCGCAATGCAGGAACATGAGCACACTTGTCACCACCGCACACTTGTCACCACCGCACACTTGTCACCACCGCACACTTGTCACCACCGCACACTCACCAAACCCACACCCCAACCTGCCATGCGCCCCCACCCATCCACCATGAGCGCTCCACCAGGAGTGGGGCGGCGCACAGCAGTGCGGGCGGCGTGTCAGCGAATGGGCGTGCACTGCGTCGAGTACAGCAGCGCCGACCTCGCCTCCTCCGCCAATGAGAGTGCAACAGCTGGCGCACTGCAAGCGGCCTTTGAAACAGCGAGCCGGTGAGAAGTGCGATGATTGGCTGAGGGTGATGACATGGCATTTGCATTATCGAGATCATGTTGGTGGATTCAAAGGGGATGTGTGTGTGCAGTAAGACAACACTCTTGCGTCACATCTCACTGCCCTCCACTACACACTCCCTCCCCTTCCCCCCGCTGCCCCCCCCCAGCTACTCCCCTGCAGTGCTGCTGCTGCGCCGCTTCTCCGCCCTCCTCACGCCCTCCGACGCCCCCGACGCCTCCTCCTCTGCCTCGCTGTCTCTGCTCGCCCACACGCTGCGCGCCTGCATCCGCTCCTTCTCCCCCCCCCATGGCCCAACCCCCCGCACACCACACAAGCTGCACCTGTAGCAGCAGGGGGAGGGGGAGAGGGAGGGGGAGGGGGGGCGGCGGTGGTGGTGGTGGCGTGTGTGGAGGAGGGGGAGGCGGAGAGCATGGGCGTGACGGTGCGGAGGTGCTTCACTCACGAGCTCGCTGTGGGGCCACCGGATGAGACACAACGCCACCGCCTGCTGCGCTTCTTCCTCAAGGTGAGTTAGTCACGGGGAAAAGCAGCAGGTGCAAATCACTCTCTGTGAATCAGCTTCTACCTCTCCTCTCCTCTCCTCTCCTCTCCTCTCCTCTCCTCTCCTCTCCTCTCACCCGACTTCAAGCGTCCTTTCCACCTCATTGCCCCTTCCTTTCTTCTTTCCTTTCCTTCTTCCCACTGCATTCCCCATTTCCTCTCCCACCACCGCCTCCCCATGTCTCTGCACCACCACCACCGCCGCCTGTCCCCAGAGCCCTCCCCACAGCGCTACAGCCGGTGGCGGGGAGGACGTGGCGGCGGCTGTAGCACGGGAGACGGCGGGCCTGCTGCCGCGCGACCTCAGGGCGCTGGCCGCCGACGCTGCTGCCGCCGCCATCCGCCGCTCGCTGCCCCCTGGGGGAGCAGACAAGGGCGCTGGTGGGGTTGCGCATGGGGGAGCTGCCGTGCAGACAGCACTGGGCAATGGGGGCGTGACGGAGGGGCGGGGTGGGGAGGATGGCATTGCAGAGCCGAGCAGCAATCGCGAGGGGGAGGGGGCGGTAGAGGGGGGAAAGGGGAAGGTGGAGTTGGAGGGGAGCAGGGGGGTGGAGGATGCAGGGAGAGAGGTGGGCGTGGCAGGGGGTTTGGCGGTGGGGCGGGCGGACGTGGAGGAGGCGATGGGGGCGGTGAAGCGGCGGGTGGCGACGGTGATTGGCACGCCCAAGGTGCCCAACGTGCGGTGGGATGACATCGGCGGACTGGAGGACGTCAAGGCCGCCATCCTTGATACCATCCAGGTGAATTCACTGGCTCAGGTGAACTCAGCAGCGCTCAGGAGAACTTTCAGCATTCCTGTGAATGTACCGGCATTGAGGTGGGCTATGAATGTGCGCGTGGGCAAAGAGTAACTGCTTAGCATTTCGCAGGGTTATGCTGGCCCGCAGCCAGTGACTGCTCCCTCCCTTTGATTCTGCGCCCCATGGTGTGTCTGTTTTCCTTCTCTCCTATCCCATTGCCCTTTCTCCCCTCGCACCCCCCCAGCTGCCGCTGCGGCACCGGCATCTGTTTGCGTCTGGGCTGCGGCAGCGGTCGGGTGTGCTGCTGTACGGCCCGCCAGGCACAGGCAAGGTGAGCTGACAGGGGTGGCATGTGGAGAGAGAAGGCACGTGGGTGGTGGGGGCGTGTGTGGGGCATGGGAGGTCACGCAGGGGCATGTCATGCGAGTCAGTGGGTCTTGCACCCATTGTTGACGGAACTCACATTCTTCACACTGCTTGCGCTGCTTGTGTTCTTCTAAGGCAGTGCATCATTGTGCGCACCATCAAGCAATGTGATGCCATGCGTGCACCGCTCCGCCATGCGCCCCGCACCACCATGTGCATGCCTCCCATCAGACGCTGCTGGCAAAGGCGGTGGCAACGGAGTGTTCCCTCAACTTCCTGAGTGTGAAGGGCCCCGAGCTGATCAACATGTACGTGGGCGAGTCGGAGCGCAACGTGCGCGCCATCTTCGCCAAGGCGCGCGCCGCCTGCCCCTGCGTCGTCTTCTTTGACGAGCTCGATGCGCTTGCGCCCGCCAGAGGGGCTGCTGGGGACTCGGGGGGTGTCATGGACCGCGTTGTCTCCCAGGTGGGCCTCTGTTGGCTGTTTGGCTCTTGCCTGTCAGGTGGGTCTCTGTTGCCTGTCAGGTGGGTCTCTGTTGCCTGTCAGGTGGGTCTCTGTTGCCTGTCAGGTGGTCTATGTTGGTGCTGAATTGAGTGAATGTTGTTGAGGAGGGATGGCGGCAAGGCAAGGGGTGCATGGATGAAAGGAACCTTGCAGTACGGTTCCCCCGTTCCTCACTCACTCCTCCCTGCTTCACCCTCTGCTCTGTCTGGGCCTGCCCGCCAAACCCCGTCACCGCCAGCTGCTGGCTGAGGTGGACGGCATAGGGTCCACGTCAGCATCGGATCTGTTCCTGGTGGGCGCCAGCAACCGCCCCGACCTCATCGACCCCGCTCTGCTGCGCCCGGGCCGCTTCGACAAGCTGCTCTATGTGGGCGCCGGCAGCACCGCTCTGCACCGCTGCAGGTGCGGATGACAGGGATGGCTCGCACTGGAGTGAACAGGGAGGCAGTATGCACTGAGAAAGTGTACTTGTGCCCACAAGTGTGCTGCTGAAGCCCTCTCAATGCACTCAAATCCCTCACTCTCTCTCTGCCCCATGCACATGCATTCTCTCCCTCCACCCTCCCCCCCCCCCCCCCCGTGCCCCACAGGGTGCTGCAGGCGCTGACACGGCGCTTCCACCTGGCAGGAGGGGTGTCGCTGCAGAGCATAGCAGAGCGCTGCCCCGCTACGCTCACGGGCGCCGACCTCTACGCCCTCGCTGCCGACGCCTGGCTCTGCGCTGCCAAGCGCACCGTGGGCCACGGCCAAGCAGCAGGTCGCTCTGTTGCACGCTCCAAGGGGCAAGGCGTGGAGAGTGGAAAGGAGGGTGAAGGAGAGGATGCGGTGGTGGTGGAACAAGCAGACTTCCTCAAGGTGCTTGCCACTCCTGTTACCTCACCTCCTGCCTCATGGCGTTCGGGTCCTCCTCGCCCACATCTCTTTCACATCCTTTTATTTGGTTTCCATATTACTGAATTGAAGCGTCTTCTGTTTTTTTTGGTTTCCATGTTCGTACGTGTTTCTGCCAGGCCTTGTCACAGCTGACCCCCTCGTTATCAGCGTCAGAGCTGCATCGCTACGAGGCTTTACGAGAGCAGTTCCAGCCAGCAGGGCGAAGCCGTGCAGCGGCTTAGATGGCTGATGGCACGTCTAATGTCTTCAGTTATCACGGTGCAGTACATGACAACGCTCGTGTGATCACACTAAAAGCTGAGGTGTGTTATGTTTTACTGTATAGTAATGTATAAATATGTTATCCCGGTGGTTCTGTAGTCCTTCCACTTCGCTACGCACAGTGAAACTGCTCCCACGTCATGCCAAGAAGATCCACCCTTTTCGGCAAATTATCTGGGTGTTGTGGTTTGGCTCTTTCACTCCGCTCAATCAAGCGAAACTGCACTTCTGTGATGAATGTACACGTACTGTAAATCCTCAAGGCTCGCTGGACAAAGTGGTCGGATCACCAAGCCAGTGCTTTGCCAAAGCCACTCCAACGCGGAACCGAAATGTATCGCGTTAAGTGCTTCGGAGAATAGTGCAGAAGGGGAAACTGGAAACTCCTGCCTCCGCTACATGCGCTGAACATTGCAGCTCTCCATCCACCCAACGACCGCGTTCGCTGCCAGCCAGGTAGCCAACAGCCCTCGTGATCAGAGAGGATAGCAAAAGCGCCCCCCCCCCCCCCCTCCCCACCAGCCGAACCACAACCCGAAGCATGTTTTCAAGTGTCTTTCAAGCAGAGTGTACGCCTGCTCCTCAGTTCAATTGCATCAGTCTGGTCTGGGTTGATGCATTTCAGGGGGAAATAGAAGGAGAACACGAGTTTCCGAGTCTCTTGATGGACCCAAAGATTTCTGATTGAGTAAATCTGCAGGCGTCATTCAAGCCAACTTAGGGCTAGGCACTGCGAATGCTGGATTATTTGTTCGATTTTTAACATCAGTGCAATGGCTGAGCGAAGCACCACGTGCTCGCAAAGACTGTCGCTGCTTCACTTCTTGACGTTTCAGCTATGGCTTCTGGTCTCACACAGCATCACCTTCGCAAATGCCGGCGCGTCGGAGAATGACGGTTAGTTCGCACTCCCACTACGCCATTCGTGCATCACCATGCGAGAGATCTGTTCATTAAGTTTCGAAATGCGAATAAGAATTATAATCGTATTGGATAGTATGACCACTACTGGTGACTGTAGCGCTGAACTTCGTGAATGCGGCATTGCAATGTTGCGACCAGGGACCGTATTCATCGCATTGCACCGAGCAGAACGGTATCAGTCGCAGTTTAGGGTCACGGAGAGCCAAGAACAATGTCCGCGCAGTGAATGCACGTGACCCGCCAGAGACGCGTGGCAACATTCGTGTGCGTGTACCGGCGCACCTGGACTCGCACCAACGCAGTGTGGATGCCGCCTTGCGCCACCATCTCACGCACTCCACCCCTTCCTTCTCCCTTCGCCCTTACCCCCCCCACCTCCTCCCCCCCTTTATTTCCCCCCTCGTTCCGCCTACCCCCACGGCAGTGCGCGCGCTGCTGGACGTGCGCGCGGCGCTGAAGGAGGCGAACCCGGCGGCGCTGGAGTCGTGGTCGGAGAGCACGGACCCGTGCGGTGGGTCATGGGAGGGCACCTTCCGCTGCGACGACAACGGCCACGTCACCTTCTTGTGAGCGCCGTGCGGGGTTGACTGCGCGCGTGAAAGCCGTTCCGCCCATCCCCTCATTCCAACCTCGCTGCTGCCACTCGGGTCCCTCCGTACCCAGTCCGCGCGCTCTTACATCTCTTCCACCCTCCCCCCCAACCCCCCAAAACCTCCCCCCTCCTCTCCCGCGCCCACGCGCAGGTCGCTGGAGCAGAAGCAGCTGCACGGGCCCATCCCCGGCGTGCAGCTCGCCGCGCTCACATCGCTCATCTACATGTACGTCCGCATGTCGCGACAATGCACGCCGCCCACGCGCATGGTAAGCGCCCCACACTGCTCGTGCGAGTGCGTTGGCTCGCCTCGGCGCGCGTCTCAGCGCGGCAGGTTATGACGGCGCTGGGGGTGTGGCAGGCGGAGCAGCAGGGAATGCGGCAGTCCAGGTTCAGGCTCAGGCCGGGGGAAGCACGGCAGAGACGTGCTTGCGCTGACGTGCTCGGTTCGCTAGCCCTCCTCAGCTCTTGCCCACCCCGCCACCACCACGCGCCGTTCCCCTCCCTCCCCTCCCTTGCCCCTCACGCTCCCCATGCCTCTCACCCGCCGTCCCCCCGCCCCCACTTCCCCCCTGTGCAGCAACCTGGGGTCGAACTCGTTCACGGGCGCCATTCCCGAGCAGCTGCTGCGACTCACCTCGCTGCAAATCCTGTGAGTGCCACTCACCTCGCTGCACATCCTGTGAGTGCCACTCACCTCGCTGCACATCCTGTGAGTGCCACTCACCTCGCTGCACATCCTGTGAGTGCCACTCACCTCGCTGCACATCCTGTGAGTGCCACTCACCTCGCTGCACATCCTGTGAGTGCCACTCACCTCGCTGCACATCCTGTGAGTGCCACTCACCTCGCTGCACATCCTGTGAGTGCCACTCACCTCGCTGCACATCCTGTGAGTGCCACTCACCTCGCTGCACATCCTGTGAGTGCCACTCACCACCAGCACTCAGGCCCAGGACATGCCCTCACTCCATACAACCCTTCGTCCATCCTTTTCAGACGTCCCATCTATGCTCTATCGTACAATCCCATCCCCAGCCATCCCATCCCCAGCCATCCCATCCCCAGCCATCCCATCCCCTGCCATCCCATCCCCAGCCATCCCATCCCCTGCCATCCCATCCCCAGCCATCCCATCCCCTGCCATCCCATCCCCAGCCATCCCATCCCCTGCCATCCCATCCCCTGCCATCCCATGCCCTGCCATCCCACGCCCTGCCATCCCTCTCCCAACCAACCACCTCCCCCCCCCCCCCCACCCAACGCCTGGCGGGCAGGTCGCTGTCGTTCAACCAGCTGTCGGGCACGCTGCCAGCGGGCTTCAGCCAGCTCCAGGCGCTCAAGCAGCTGTGAGCCGCGCGGGACGAGGGGACCGGGCAGGGCGGGTGGGGTGGGGTGGGGGCACAAGGGGTTGTCTTGGCCGGCCCTGTAGCTTCCGTAAAAGCACACATGGCAGCACGCGGATCACATTCCACAGGGAACACGTTACCTGTCCATTGACACCCTCTGTCGTGTGTGTGCCCCTCTCTTTCTCTCACTGTGCACGTGCATGTGTGCATGTGTGCATGTGTGCACGTGTGCATGCATGCATGTGTGCAGGCAAGTGGCAGGCAACCAGCTATCGGGCGAGCTGCCAGCGTCACTCTCCTCGCTCTCCAACCTCACCCTCCTGTCAGCCCCACTGCGCTCTGCCATGCCATGCCATGCCATGCCATGCCATATCTTGTCATGCCGTACCGTGCCGTACCATGCCACACCATGCCATACCAGTCATGCCATACCGTGCCATACCATGCCACGCCACGCCATACCAGTCATCCGTGTCATACCATGCCATGCCATACCGTGCCATGCTAAGCCATGCCATACCATACCATACCATACCATACCAGGTTGACATCCATGCCATACCGTGCCATGCCATACCGGAGCATACCAGGTTGACCCATGCCAGCTATGCCATGAGTCATGTATGCAACCCGCTCTGACTCCGCCTCTCATATGTCTCTCATATGCCTCTCATATGTCTCTCATATGCCTCTCATATGTCTCTCATATGCCTCTCATATGTCTCTCATATGCCTCTCATCTGCCTCTCATCTGCTCCCACCTTTCCCCTTCTCTCTCCTCTGAAACGCTCCTGGCTGCCTGTGGCATGGCATGGCATGGCATGGCGTGGCATGGCGTGGCATGGCATGGCATGGCGTGGCAGCAACCTGTGCAAGAACCAGTTCACGGGGTCCATTCCAGGCGACTGGAGCAGGATGACTCAAATGGCCACCCTGTGAGTGCTCCCCTCACTGCCACACCGTGAGTGCAGTGCTCCCCCCCTCCCATGCGAGTGCTCCCACCCTCCCTGCGAGTGCTCCCCCCCTCCCTGCGAGTGCTCCCCCCCTCCCTGCGAGTGCTCCCCCCCTCCCTGCGAGTGCTCCCCCCCTCCCTGCGAGTGCTCCCCCCCTCCCTGCGAGTGCTCCCCCCCTCCCTGCGAGTGCTCCCCCCCTCCCTGCGAGTGCTCCCCCCCTCCCTGTGAGTGCTCCCCCCCTCCCTGCGAGTGCTCCCCCCCTCCCTGTGAGTGCTCGCCTTTCACTGCCTTTTACTCGCCCCACTCCCACCCCTGTGAGTGTTCCCGACTAATTGCCACCACACTCGTCACTTGTGTGCAGACACTGACTGCTGCATGTCACCATATTAGCAGCGTCCAAATTTCATCGCACCCACCGTCCCCACTCTCCTCTCCCCCTGCCTGTCTGCCTGCCTGCCTGCCTGCCTGCCTGCTTGCCTGCCTGCCTGTGTGCGTGCGTGTGTGCCTGAGCAGGCGGCTATCGTCCAATCAGCTGTCAGGGGAGGTGCCCTCGTGGTTCGGCTCCTGGCCCAATCTCGCTGTGCTGTGAGCGCGCCTCCCTTCGCCCACCTCACTGCATTCCTGCCTTGCCTTGCTCGCATAGCACTGCACTCCCCATCACAGCACATCGTTGCATGTAGCTGCGTTGCACTGCACTGTCAAGCCATTCCCATTCCCTCAACTCAATCCCTTGTATTCCACCACCTCCCCGCCATGCGCCTTGCCCCCCCAACCCACCGCGCCAGGGAGCTGTTTGGCAACAAGCTCAGCGGCTACATCCCGCAGGACCTTGCCCAGGCCACCACGCTCGCCTCCCTGTGAGCGCCTTGCTGCCCTGCCTGCTCCCACTTATATCCCCACACTCGCCCCCTTGCGAGCATTCCTTCCTCCCTGCTGCGGCATTCACTCCGTGTCCGTGCCCTTGTCACACTGCGCCGCCCCGCACTCACCTCACCCACTCACCTCACCCACTCACCTCACCCACTCACCTCACCCACTCACCTCACCCACTCACCTGTGCCTCTCTCCTCTCGGCCTCCCCTCAACCTCCCCTCGACCTCCCCTCAACCTCCCCTCATCCTCCCCTCAACCTCCCCTCGACCTCCCCTCGGCCTCCCCTGCCATGCACCCCACTCTGTACCCCATTCCCCGCACGTGGCAGGGCGTTGGACGTGAACGAGCTGCGGGGGTCGCTGCCGGACTCCTTCAGCCGCCTCACCAACCTCAAAGAGCTGTCAGTCACGCTCCCTTCCCCCCTCCTCCCATCTCCCATCCTCCCATCCCCCCTGCTGCTCCCTTCCCCCTTCTTCCCATCCTTGCTGCTCCTTGCTGCTCAGGAGCCTTCTTTCCACCCTTTCCCCCACGCCATGCTCGTCATGTGTGCATCCTGTTGGCTATGTGAAGCTCTTTCCCTCCATGCCAACATGATTTCCGTGTGCTGCCTCCACGCATGTGTGGGGCACGTGTGTGTGGGGCACGCGTGTGTGGGGCACGCGTGTGTGGGGCACGCATGTGTGGGGCACGCATGTGTGGGGCACGCGTGTGTGGGGCACGCGTGTGTGGGGCACGCGTGTGTGGGGCACGCATGTGTGGGGCACGCATGTGTGGGGCACGCATGTGTGGGGCACGCGTGTGTGGGGCACGCGTGTGTGGGGCACGCATGTGTGGGGCACGCGTGTGTGGGGCACGCGTGTGTGTGCATGAATGGTGGATGGATGGGTTGCCGGGGGCGCAGGTACGTGTCGAGCAACAAGCTGGAGGGCAGCATCCCGGCGTCCTATAGCACTCTCACGCAGCTAAGATTCATGTGAGCTGCACTCCCACGCAGCTGCGATTCATGTGAGCTGCACTCCCACACACGCACGTGCAAGCACAAGCTGCCGGCATCACATCATGTCGCGCGCGTGCAGGAACTCACAGCAAGCAGCCTTCAAAGAGAAGCAACCACTTTCCTTGCATCATCATCTTCTGTCTCACGCAAGGTTCAAAAATACGGTTTTCGTAAAATAAATTACGGTCCGTTTTTAACGGCGTTTGTTTTGTTTTGTTTTGTTTTGTTTTGTTTTTTGTAATTTAATTTAATTATTTAATACGGCCGTTTTTTTGTTAGAGAACTCTGGACAGCAAGAAAAAAAAGGGAAAAAACAAGGTCAAACACTTTTTCAAACATGCCAACAAGCGCACACATGCAAGAAGGGGCCCATCCCCTTCATCCTGCTGAAATTCGGGTTCAATTCGGTCCCATAAAGTGGCCGATTTGTTAGTTAAACTGAAAACATTTCCTGCAACCGTTTTAAACAGTCGTTTTTCACGGTACCATTTTTTACGGTTAAAATTCAAAAAGACGGTCCCTTTTTTTAACCATGGTCTCATGTCTATGCTCCTTGCACCTTGTGTCCACAGCCAATTCCCAAACTGTGTTTTTCTCGCCGCTCACCTGCTGCAGTGATGTGAGCTACAACGCTGGGCTGGGTGGCCCCATTCCCGCCTTCTTTGGTGACTTTGACAACCTGGCGTCCATGTGAGTCAACGAGGGTCAATGGAGTCAATGTGAGTCAACGAGGGTCAATGGAGTCAATGTGAGTCAACGAGGGTCAATTGAGTCAATTCAACGTGAGTCAACGTCAATGGAGTCAACGTGAGTCAACGTGAGTCAACGAGGGTCAATGGAGTCAATGCCTGTCAATGAGTGATTTCGACTCAAAGCCAGTCAATGTAGTAAATGTGAGTCTAAGCGAGTCAATGCAGCCCACGAGATGGCAAGTCACACGCCACCACACTCACCTCACCACCAACACAGCACCACCCCAACTCTACCCCCTCCCCTCCCACCCCTTCCCCCCCTCCCCCGCAGAGCAATGCAGTTCTGCTCCTTCTCAGGCCCCCTGCCCCCGTCACTAGGCAACCTGGTACACGTGCAGGAGGTGCTGCTGGACAACAACCAGCTCACTGGACCCATCCCGGACGAGTGGGGCACGGGGCTGGAGCGAGTGGAGGTGCTGCACCTGAACGACAACCAGCTGTCGGGGACCATACCGGGCACGTTCTGCCACCTGGAGTACGCCAAGGACGTCAACCTCGCGCTCAACCGCCTGCAGGGGACCATCCCCATGTGCCTCACCTCGCTGCGCCGCATCTCCTCCCTGTCAGTGCCTCACCTCGCTGCGTCGCATCTCCTCCCTGTCAGTGCCTCAAAGCGCTCACCTCCTCGTAAGACGCATCATTCCTCTAAGCTGATTGGCTTCCTCTGTCGCCTCCCATCCCATCTCCTGCCACTCCTGCACTGCACCACTCCTGCACTGCACCACTCCTGCACTGCACCACTCCTGCACTGCACCACTCCTGCTTAGCAACTCTCCCCCCATCGCTCTCCCTCTCACCCCGTGCACCCCCCTCACCCCGTGCACCCCCCTCACCCCGTGCACCCCCCTCTCCCCGTGCACCCCCCTCTCCCCGTGCACCCTTCTCACCCCTCGCACCCCTCGCACCCCTCTCGGCCCCCAGAGTGCTCTCCTTCAACCGACTCACTGGCCCTGTGCCGCCGGTGCCAGCTGGCGTGCAGGTCTTCTTCAAGTGAGTGCCAGCTGGCATTGCCGGTTGCATAAGAGTCTTGTAGCCTGCTCATATGCATTCAAGCTCCTGTGCGCGTCGCGATCTCGTCCTGCTGCTGTGCGTCCCCGTGTACAAGTAAAACATTCTCATTCCTCTCCTCTCCCTTTTTGACGTTTACTTGCATGGCATGGCATGGCATGGCATGGCATGGCATGGCACGGCAGGGTGAACGGCAACTGTCTAGACGGAGTGGAGGACCAGCAGTCTCCCTGCCCGGCCCTCGATGACCCTCCCCCTGCTGCCCCCATCACACCCGAGCAACCCCAGCCACAGGAGGCAGCACCATCGAGCTCATGTGAGAGCTGCAAGCTGGCATGGCAGCAGCAGAATGGGTTCTGACAGGCAAGGTTGTATTGTCCCACTGACAGGCAAGGTTGTATCGTCCCACTGACAGGCAATGTTGTATTGTCCCACTGACATATCCCACATGCCCCATGCATATCACATGTGTGTGCCATGCACTTCATAGCGTCAACTCCATCCCTGCTTTTTTTTTTTCCATTAACCCCCTTGCCCCTTCCCCACGTACTCCCATGTGTCATCCTCGCAGCCACATGGTCATGGATGAGGGGGTTCCTCATAGCGCTGCTCTCAGCCACGTTCGTGCTGCTGCTCATATTCGCCTTTGTGCTCCTTGCCAATCGCACTGACGCCCACAACACCTCCCGCTCCGACAACTGTCAGTGCCCTCCTTCGCCCACACTGCCTTCCTCTCCCACCCTTCTGCCTTTCCCCGCCCACACCGCCTTTCCTCCCTCATGCTGCCTTTGGTCTCCCACATTGCCTTTCCGCTTACACACTGCTCTTCCTCTCTCGCAATGCCCCTCCATGCACCCATGTACGCACACGTGACATGCTCTCCATGCACCCATGTACGCACACGTGACATGCTCTCCATGCCAATCCTTGCCGCCCTCTGCTCTGGGCGGCAGTGGCGGTGCAGGAGTACAGTCTGGGCAAGATCAAGAAGGCCACGCGCAGCTTCACCACGGTGTACGGGCGGGGCAGCTTTGGCACCGTGTACCTGGCAGAGGACTTCCTAAGGGACCAGATCGAGACGCGCGCCATCATCAAACGCGCTCACGACCCCGAGAGTGAGATGACTGCGGGTGGGGGGCCACATGGGGAAGGGTGAGAGTGGGTTGGTGGAAGGTTTGAGTGAGTTTGAGAAAGGTGTGAGAGCAAGATGGGTGGGTGGAGAGTGAAATTGAGACGACATGGGTTGCAATGCAACGTGCAAGTGAGTGGGTGAACCGAGTGAGAAGCCAGGATTGCCCTCTCTTCACCTCCTCACCATGCCTCTTGACCATCCTCCCCTCATTCCCCCCCCCCAACATGCTGCCCCTGCCACATCAACACCCCACCATGCCAACCACGCCCCTTGGCAGAGCTGGGCGAGTACGTGTTCAAGGCGAAGGCGGACTTCTTGGCGCGGGTGAGGCACTGCAGCCTGGTGGCGCTGCTGGGCTTCTGTGTGGGCAAGGGCGAGCGCATCCTCGTCTACGAGTACCTCCCCAACGGCTCCCTCTACGACCGCCTCCACCGTCAGCCCCCTACCCCTGCCCTCTTCCCCCACCCCCTGCCCTCCTGCCATCTCACACTCTGCTGTCCCCGTCCCCCTGCCCTTCGCCCTCGGTCCCTTGGCCTGCTGCCCTCTGCCCCCCTGTCGCCCCCTTTCCGTCTGCCCTCTGCTCACTGGCCTCTGCCCTCTGCCCTCCGGCCCTCTGCTTCTGCCTTCCAAGCATTGTGTGCCGTAATGTGCCATGGTGCCGTAATGTGCCATGGTGCTGTAAGCCATCTGCTCTGCTGCCACCCCACCATCGCATGGCCCCTCCCTCCGCTTACTGCGCCCACCGTTACCTCTCCATGATCCCAGCCCCCCTCAACCTCACTCGTATCCCACCAGCCATTGTTCCGCACCATTTCTTCCTACGCCTGCTCGTGTCCCGTGTCCCCCTCTTCCCTTATCTCATCCCCCCACCCCCTGCCCGCCACATGCACCTCATCCCACCTCCCTGCATGCAGGGCCAGACCTGGAGCCGATCCCGTGGGACACGCGGGTGCGCATCGCAGCGAACGTGGCGTCGGCGCTGAGCTACCTGCACCACTGCTGCCACCCGCCCCTCGTGCACCGCGCCGTCACCTCCTCCAACATCCTCCTCACCTTCGACATGTCCGGCAAGGTCCGTCCACATTTGACACGGTGCTGTGGCATCCGGTGACCGCATTCCTTATTGCAGGGCGAGGGGCAATCAGGCATGCTCGCCACTCCTGCCGTCCCTCATATCCCTCGCTCATTTGCCCAATCTTCTCCCTCTTCTCTCCCTCCCTCTCCCTCCCCGCCTGCCAGCTGTCTGACTTTGGGCTGGCCCGAGGCGGCTCCCCTGCGGTGTTTGACGATGGCTCCAAGCGCCGCCGCCCCTCCAAGCCCACTCGCACACGCAGCGGAGGGGTGGCGGAGGGCGAGGGGAGCGAGGGTGGGGAGGGGGGGGAGGAGGGGCAGAGTGCGCTGCAGGGGGGCGAGCTGGAGAAGGTGGATGTGTATGGGTTCGGAGTGGTGCTGCTGGAGCTGATCACGGGGCAGAAGGCCATGAAGGAGGTCCACATCACCAGCCTCGTGCGTCCGCCCTCCACCCCGCTCCTCTTCTCCTCACGTTTCCGCTGCTTCGACGCGTGGTTGCTGCTTGCACACCGCTCCCCCCGTGCACCAATCAACATTAGGTTCACAGCTATCCGTGCCTATCCATGTGCTCATGCCCTCCCCCCTTTCTCCCCCCTCCCCATCCCCTCCCGTGTGCCAGGCGGCGCCATTCCTGGAGGACGCGCAGATGATGCCGCTGATGGTGGACGCGGCGCTGGGGGGGTTCTTCGACCAGGCGGAGCTCATAGCGCTGGGCACCATCGCACGCGACTGTGTCAAGGAGGACCCCTCCGCGCGCCCCTCCATGCGCGATGTGGTGCGCACCATGCAGGCACAGCTCGACCTCGAGGCCGACCTCTTTGCCGCGCCTGCTGGCGTGGCCGGCACGGATGACATGGACCGGGGAGACGGGGGTGATGGGGTGGCCAACTCCAGTGGATACGCGCCGGTGGGCGGCAACAGTGTGCTGACCTCCGCATGGGTCTCTTTGGAAAACGTTGCCTCCTCCGTTCGCACAGCCCTGACCAGCCCCCGAACGCCACAGCCGAGCAACGAGAGCGCAGCCGATCCCACGGATGTCGAGATGTCCTCCCTGTTGCTCATTGCGCCTCGTGCTGCACGTCGGTAACCTTAGAACGGCACTCATTTTGGCTCTGTTGTAGAGTAGTTTATTGGTTCTGCTTCCTACTATGTACAATAATGAATGGCATAGGGCAGATTTTTGGAAATTTACTCCGCTAGCCAATCTACGACCTTTGTAACACGATAAGGTTATGCTTGACGAGGATGATGATTGCCGCATCGCGGACCAATCACGATCGCGAAAATTACAGGCGAATCTATGTTACCACCTACCAACTCCTGATGGCCCGATCAGACTTCAGGCCATCTGAGCCATCCTTGGTAACTCTAGCAAGGCCGCTTTTTTCGCCTGCCCAGTCCCCCCCAGTCTCGTTTCGAGCTCGACATGTGTGGCCGAGCAGCGTTTTTTGCTCGTAGGGCTGCCCGTTCCCCGTCACCCGCAGGGTGAGGCTGCCCGCACAGCAATCCTTCAGCATCAAACCCAACCGCCATGAGGTCACAAGTCCTCCTGCCCGAATCTTTCTGTTTGCAGCCATGGCTGCCTCTTTCCCCAGCCCATTCACTCACCACCACATCCATCCCATACCATGCCGACACTGCTCGCTTGACGCTTATCCAGCCTGTCAACTCTGACCTAAAACAGCATCGCTGCCATACCACCAGAGAATAACCAGGTTTTAGAAGCTTCGGTTTATCGACTTAGGTCCACTGTTTCGGACACTGGTTCCTGTCAACCCATTGCGTCGTCCGAGCGAGCGCCGCCATAGTCGCCATGGACGTGAGGCATCAAGCGGCGCGATTCGAAATCAACGAGTTGCGTCGCTGCATGAGCACGTCGCTCGACAAGCTGGTTACCACCACGCCGTCGGTGCGTTTCGCCGACGAGGTGGTCGACCTGGAGAAAGCGGCGGAGGCGGGTCCGCCGCAAGTCACGTTCGCGCGGTCCACGTCGTTCACGTCGCACAGCTCGTCGGGCGAGACGGAGGCGGCGCGGCGGCTGGCCGTGCGGCTGCTGATCGGCGGTGCCAAGGAGGAGGGCGGCGGGGAGCCGCAAAAGGAGGGACGCGAACGACGGCGACGCCACGGCAGCAGCAGCGGCGGCCGCAGCAGCGGCAGCGGCAGCGGGAGTGGCAGCGGCAGCGGCAGCGGTGGTAGTGGGGAGGCGCGAGGGTCGTGGCAGAAGCACCGGAGCTATTCGTTGAACCAGGAGTGGTCCGGAGGGAAGCCCGTGTCGCGGTCCAGTGGGGGCGGCTCGGAGACGGAGAGCGCAGACGGATCGAGCAAAAGCGAGAAGCGATCGCTGGCGAAGGAAGTTACAGCGCTTCGACGACAACTCGCGGAGTTTCAAGCTGCGAATCAGGACCTTCTAGGTGAGCTGTGACTCAGGACCTTTTAGGCGAGCGGCGTTGCAGGCGTGGCAGAGCACGGCTGGGGCAGAGCACGGCTGGGGCAGAGCACGGGGCGTGGCTGGGGCAGTGCTGCGTGCACGCGTCTCCGAGTGCATGTTTGATGCGCTCTCGCTCGAGGATTGCGGAACGAGCGCCTCCAGTGCGAATTCGTGCCGCACCTGCCTTCCAGATAGCAGCTCTTGATTTCCCGCGCGCTGCGCTGCCCTTTCTCGCTTTCCTGCTCCTTCCCCCCTTTCACCCTCCAAATCCTTTCCCACACCCCCCCCTTCCCCACACCCTCTCCTTTCCCACGCCCGTTGTGCTGCATGCCTTTATCCCGTCAGCACCCCCTTCCTCCTGCCCACTCCCCTGCATCCTCGCTCCTCCACCTCCCACGTTCCACCTCCCCACTCACCTCCATCCATGTTCACCAATCTCCATCCCCCCACTCTCCTGCAACCCCCCATTCCCCTCCATTCTGCCACTCTCACTCTCTTCCACCTCCCCCACTCTAATCCCCCAGCCTCCTAATCCCCCTCAGCACCCATACACCATTCTCAGCCCCCAACATGCCCCTCTCCCCCTTCCAAATAAGCAACCCCCCTTCTTCTCCCTCCCCTGCCCGTACTCCCCCCCCCCCACCCCCCACCCCCCCTCCCCCCCGACGTGGTCGCCCTGCCTCCTTCCCCCCCTTGGCCAGACGAGTTGGACCGCAAGTCGCTGGCGGTGGCGGCAGCGGAGGAGGCGGTGAGGGACGCGCGGGCGGAGCGCGACCTGATGGCGGCGGAGATGGAGGCGGCGCTGGGCACGTGGACGCTGGCGGTGGACGAGGCCAAGGAGGCGGCGCACGCAGCGGAGGCGGCGAGGGAGCAGGTGGCGGAGCTGGAGACGGAGAACAAGCGCCTCTGGCAGCTCGTGGAGCTCATTCTCGAGCAGAAGGACAAGGCCGCGCTGGACGGCGCTGATGGCAGCGCTGGCAAGTTCGACCCCACCACCAATGCCCGCATCATGTGAGTGCCCACGCTGGCTCGCGGGCTGTGGGTGTGTGGTGCCGCCCGTGCGTTGAGTATCGTGAGTCGTTGCCTCTCATGCTCTGTGGCACATGGAGTGCCCGAGGACAGGTTCGCTGCCTGGCATGGAGTGCCCGAGGACAGGTTCGCTGCCTGGCATGGAGTGCCCGAGGACAGGTTCGCTGCCTGGCATGGAGTGCCCGAGGACAGGTTCGCTGCCTGGCATGGAGTGCCCGAGGACAGGTTCGCTGCCTGGCATGGAGTGCCCGAGGACAGGTTCGCTGCCTGGCATGGAGTGCCCGAGGACAGGTTCGCTGCCTGGCATGGAGTGCCCGAGGACAGGGTCGCTGCCTGGCATGGAGTGCCCGAGGACAGGTTCGCTGCCTGGCATGGAGTGCCCGAGGACAGGTTCGCTGCCTGGCATTCACTCCTTCCCTGCCCACTCACTCTGCACCGTGCTGTCACTCTTTCTAACTGCCACTCTTTCTAACTGCCACTCTTTCTAACTGCCACTCTTTCTAACTGTCACTCTTTCTAACTGCCACTCTTTCTAACTGCCATTCTTTCTAACTGCCACTCTTTCTATCTGCCACTCTTTCGAACTGCCACTCTGTGCATCAAGCATGCCCACACCTCACTTGCCCTCACCACCTGCCCTGCCCTGTCCATGTGTGGTGCTTCCAGGAAGGTGCTGGAGTCGGTGAAGAAGCCAAGTCACAGGAGCTCAGCCTCTCCCAGCCGGCCGGCCACGGGCAGCAGCAGCAGCAGGCGGGGGGGCAGTGGGGGGTCGTCCGCATCCAAGGCGGCAGGGGACTCGGAGAGGACGGGCGAGTCGGGCTCGCGCAGCAGCAGATCGTCATCGTCCAAGCAGGTCCGCTGGTGATGCCTCCTGCCATGCGCCCTCAATCCCCGTGCCACACACTGCCCAGCCTCAGCCGTTGCCCAGGAGGCTGTTGTCGTGCTTAGTACACCCGTGCTCCGCTGCGATTCACAACACAACACAACACAACACAACGATTTGTTGATATTTATACACGAAGGAGTGCGGTGCAGCCCTGTGTTTGTTCATGGGGTTTCTTTAGTCTGGTAGAGTGTAGGAAGTGCTGTGCAGCTTCTTCATTTTTTTCTTCTTTTCCGGATCTAGGATTTTGTAGAGGCCATTAGTACAGCAGTTTAGCTTGTGTGAAATTATACTACACATTTTTTTAGGCTGCTTTGTTTCCAATTAGCCGTAAGGTCAATAAAAATGGGACTGCACTCGATGTGTGCTATTCCTGAAATAATGAGCGATCCCTGTCACAATTCCGCGTCTGCTCTTGAGGAGGGCAATGAGGCATTTCAGGTCACGTTTCACATTGCCACCAGGGCCTAAGTTATCAGGGCAATTACCCTGTTTTGACTGAAATTATAGGGTGTTTTTTCTAGGAGCCCTGATTTTCACAAGGTTTTTTCCGGACCAGCCCGTAAAACTGAAGGGTGATTTTTGAGTCAGCTCGGATCTCTCCGGGGAGTTCTCAAGGGGACCCGTATAATTTTAGCAGACATGTTCTCCCCGACCTGCCTTGCATTCCTCTCGGTCTCCCTCTAAACACACGTTGGGCCAATTTTAGTGAATTTCCTAACCACTCTCTCCTTGTTGGCCTCCATGTGTCTGATTGCCCCGTTCTACGTCGACATGGCTTAGAAGGCCAATAAGGAGAGAGTGTCTGATTGCCCTGTTCTCCCTATGTACTCTTCCTCATCGTATTTTTTTCTAAGTCTACAAAAAGTATCTCGCTCACCCCTCCAGAGCCACTCCATCTCCAATCTCCCCAGCCCTCGCGCAACCCACTGTGAGTTTCCCGCGAAATTCTGGTAATGCATGTTTTCAGGCCTTTTCTGGCTCGAACCCGGATTCGTCAAGGTTTTTTTCCCGCTGGCTCGGATTTTACAGGGTCTTTTTCACAGGGGCCCGGATCGTCCGAGCTAGCAAAAATCCTAGCAATAGCCCTGATTGCCACGCCACACACCATCCATGCGCACCGCCGGCTCTCCGCATTCCGTCCGCCTCCAGCAGCCGTCCACTCAACCGCGCTTCTCGCGTCTCCCGCCGTGCCCTCCTCCCCCCGTCGCGCGTGGCCATGCCCGCTTCAACCCTTCCGTGCTCCGCGCTGCTCGCCCGCCTCTCCGCTCCGCTCGCCGCCTCCCCCTCTCCCTCTCTCACGGCGCGCCTTCTCCCTTCTCTCCCGCCCCTCGTTCTTGGCTCCCTGCCCGCGCTACGCTCCGCGCCTTGCCGCAATTCACGCTCCTCCCGTTGTGCCGTCGGCGAGGGTATGGCGACGGCGTCGCAATCGCCGCCTGACGCGGGCAGCACGCCACGTGTCATCAAGCTGGAGGCGATCCCGCTGACACGCGAGGCGTTCGCGCCGTTCGGCGAGGTGGTGGAGCCCGCGGAGGACGGCGTCGCGTTCGGCGCGGCGGACGCCGCCCTCGACCTCTCGCAGGGCGCGCCCAGGTGGGCGCGTGGTGGGGGGGGAGAAGTGGCGGGGACGAGGGGCCGAGGTGGGGAGCGCGGAGATGAATTTGATGTGCCGGCGGAGAGGCGTAAAACAGGGTTGCGATGCAAGAGGGGGAGGGGATGGGCAGTGCGGTGGGCGTCACTCTAGGCGCGCTGATGGGCACGCGATGCAAGAGCGGGAGGGGGCGTGGCGAGGGCCCCTGGCAGCCGCGCGAGCGAGCGCCGGTAGCGGGGCTGCCATGATGGGCAAGGCGCGCTGCATAGCGCCATCCCAGAAGTATCCACTCCCTCCTCCCATGCGCCCGCGTGAGGGCGTGCGTGGTACCCTCGCATCGCCCCAGTCACACCTTTTCCACGCAAACACTTTCTTGCCCCTCCTGCCCCTTCCCCCTCCCCCTTCCCCCTGCCCGCCCCCACAGGGTGTACATAATGCGGCTGAGGGATCGGAAGCTGGGGTTTGGCAGCATCACGCACCACGCGCGCGTGACGCAGTGCCTGGGCGCCGTGGGCGGGCACCCCTGGTTCCTGGGCGTGGCGCCGCCGTCCCTCGTGCATGATGGGGACGGCCGTGAGGGTGTCAGTGGCGCTGATGGGGACGGCTGTGAGGGTGTCAGTGGCGCTGATGGGGACGGCCGTGAGGGTGTCAGTGGCGCTGATGGGGACGGCCGTGAGGGTGTCAGTGGCGCTGATGGGTAAGCGGGGCGCGAGGGTGTCAGTGGCGGGTGGTGGGGAGTGCGAGGGGTTGTTGCAGTGCAAGAGGAGGTGGTGAGAGGCATAGACGGAGAGGCAAGTGGAGGTCCAGTGGTGGGTGCTGGCTGCGTGTGTGTCAGCTCTGCTGTTCCTCTCTGCCCGCTTGGGATTGCCTCCACCACATGCTCGCCGCCCCTCACGTCCCCCATCCCTCCCCTCCCCAACCACAATGCCTTCCCACCGTGCTCGCCCCCTTGTGCACACTGTGTCGCACCAACCATGTATTCACCGCACACCATCACTCATTCCTTGCCCGTCCCCGCCCTCGCCCCCCTCTCATGCGTGCACTGGCCCTCGCCTCCGTCTCTCTCTCCCCGCCTCCCTCCCCTCCTCTTTCCCACGGCTGCCAGCAGGGCGGTGAAGCAAGGGGCGGCGGGGCAGAGGTACCGCGTGCCGGAGGTGGGGGCGGTGAGGGTGTTCCGCATGGAGGGTGCGGTGGTGGTGAAGCTGCACGCCGGCACGTGGCACGCGGGGCCGCTCTTCACGCAGCCCTGCATGGACTTCTTTAACCTTGAACTGCATGACACCAACGTGCGTGGGGAAGGGGGGGAAGGGGGAGAGGTGGGGAAGGGGGTAGAGGGGGGGGAAGGGGGAGAGGCGTGAGGGGGTAGCGCCCGCCATGAACTTGTTTAACCTCGAGCTGCATGACACCAACGTGCGCGTGGGATGGGGGGGAAAGGGGGAGAGGGATGGGCAGGGAGCGGGGAGGGGTTAGTGTAGGCGCGTCCTCTGCGCTGCTCGGCCATGCACGTGCTGCTCTCCCTCTCCACCCGTCACACCACACGTGCTGCCCTTGCTCCATGTGCGCCCCCTTCGTTGCTGTGCTCCATGTGCGCCCCCTTCGTTGCTGTGCTCCATGTGCGCCCCCTTCGTTGCTGTGCTCCATGTGCGCCCCCTTCGTTGCTGTGCTCCATGTGCGCCCCCTTCGTTGCTGTGCTCCATGTGCGCCCCCTTCGTTGCTGTGCTCCATGTGCGCCCCCTTCGTTGCTGTGCTCCATGTGCGCCCCCTTCGTTGCTGTGCTCCATGTGCGCCCCCTTCGTTGCTGTGCTCCATGTGCGCCCCCTTCGTTGCTGTGCTCCATGTGCGCCCCCTTCGTTGCTGTGCTCCATGTGCGCCCCCTTCGTTGCTGTGCTCCATGTGCGCCCCCTTCGTTGCTGTGCTCCATGTGCGCCCCCTTCGTTGCTGTGCTCCATGTGCGCCCCCTTCGTTGCTGTGCTCCATGTGCGCCCCCTTCGTTGCTGTGCTCCATGTGCGCCCCCTTCGTTGCTGTGCTCCATGTGCGCCCCCTTCGTTGCTGTGCTCCATGTGCGCCCCCTTCGTTGCTGTGCTCCATGTGCGCCCCCTTCGTTGCTGTGCTCCATGTGCGCCCCCTTCGTTGCTGTGCTCCATGTGCGCCCCCTTCGTTGCTGTGCTCCATGTGCGCCCCCTTCGTTGCTGTGCTCCATGTGCGCCCCCTTCGTTGCTGTGCTCCATGTGCGCCCCCTTCGTTGCTGTGTGTTCCCAGCCCCACCTTCGCATGGCACACGCTTCCGCACCTGTCATGCCGTCCACCTCCCTGCACCCCCCTTCACCTCCCTGCACCCCCTTCACCTCCCTGCACCCCCCTTCACCTCCCTGCACCCCCTTCACCTCCCTGCACCCCCTTCACCTCCCTGCACCCCCTTCACCTCCCTGCACCCCCTTCACCTCCCTGCACCCCCTTCACCTCCCTGCACCCCCTTCACCTCCCTGCACCCCCTTCACCTCCCTGCACCCCCTTCACCTCCCTGCACCCCCTTCACCTCCCTGCACCCCCTTCACCTCCCTGCACCCCCTTCACCTCCCTGCACCCCCTTCACCTCCCTGCACCCCCTTCACCTCCCTGCACCCCCTTCACCTCCCTGCACCCCCCTTCACCTCCCTGCACCCCCTTCACCTCCCTGCACCCACCTCACCCCCCTGCACCCCCCTGCACCCCCATGCACCCCCCTTCACCCCCCTGCACCACCAGGTGGTGGACCACACAACGCACAGCTTTGCTGACAGTGACGGCGTGGTGTTTGAATTCGAAGATGCCCGCTCGTGACACATCAAGCATGGGCCGCAGCTGAACGCAGCCCACATGCAGCTCCTGTCGCACATCGTCGCAGTCGACCCCATGAAATATAGGGTGTACATTATGAATATAGCATTTTTCTCAAGGGTGATGCACAGCGGAATGATGATGACTAGGAAGATGGGAAATACAAATGCTAAACATTGAAAAGTGTACTACTCATTATAACCTATCAACATAATGTAAACGGTTGACACACCCCCATAGGCCAAGTGAGGGGCATCAAAACAAGTAAATGAAACAAAGGGCCAAGACCAGTCAAGAGAAACAACAAGGCCATGCACAGGGTGGATTTTTCAAGATCACCACACATTCCGGGCAGGGCTAATTTTATCAGTGTAAATCACCCTAATACCCTGATAATCAGGGTGATTTTTTATGGTCACACTGATGGCCTAGGGTATTTTTTTTAGAGATAGGTTTGTTGGAAACAAGTAATTCCTAAAGCGCCTCTGTCGTGTCGAACCGTCACACCAGAAGCGAAGCGAGTCATATCGAGGCACGAGCGAGTCAACCCTCGGAGGTTAAAAGAGGTTGCTGGAGGTTACGCGAAAGTCAAAGGTCAAGCGACCTTTGACCTGACAAGTACAGCGCGACAGTTAAGGACACACAACTGACTCGTTACAGAGCAGTTGCCCGAGTCGTACTGTATCGAACCGCAACAGCAAATTAGTTACAACCGTACCGTCATACCCCGGATATAAGCGCCACCCGCGGATAAGCGCCTGGCGCTTTTAATCGGCGCCCGGCGCTTATATCCGGTGCTCGATTATAAGCGCACCCCCCTGAAAAAACTTGTTTTATTATAAGCTCACGTAAACTTTAATTTTTGAATTGTGTTCGAAACACTGTAACGATTCCTACTTTAGCAGGGGAATGTGTTGCAGATTCGCTTCCCTTCACATTCGGACCCTGCACTGGGTGCGGGTCCAGTCAGCAGGAGCAGTCAGGGGCTGTCAGAAGCTGTCAGAAGCTGTCAGGAGCTGTCAGAGTGGGTGTATGTCCAGCGCGCGCGAGAAGTTTCACAGAACTTCGACTCGATTGGAAAAGGCAAGCACGAGATCTACAGCTTGGTGTTAAAAAATATATCAATTATAGATGTCGTTTTATAAACGCCGGCGCTTATAAATTTACCCGATTATAAGCCCACCCCCCCTAAAAAAACATGTTTTATTATTGCCCCCCATGGGGGTATATCCGGGGTATGACGGTATCCTTTCGTATTCCTTGTACTACTATATATTCTTGTATCTCTTTGTTATAATCAACTTACTTTGCTCTCACACACCAGTGCAAGGTGGTTCACAAGTCTTCATTAAACGCTTCCGCTATTACAATAGTCCTACCCCGAATTTACCCCTGCAAAAGATCCTAAGGGCTTTTCTCAGCCCAACATGGTATGAGAGCTATCAGGGAAAATTCAACTATTACCAAGACACCAACAGACGACATGGCAACATACAAGGAAAGGAGTTCCTCCAATGGTTCTCCCGGGACTACTCCTACCCCACCTCCTGCCTCTGGCCTGCAGACAGAGGAAGGAACTGCAACGGGACCAGCAGCGCCTTCAGCCAGCCAACCTGCCAGCTTCGACCAGAGTATGATGGAGAAATTTTTCTCCTTCATGTCGTTCTACGAACAACACCAGCAGTCGGCACCTGCGCAGTCAAACAACAGCAACAACAACAACGTGACTCCAATGAGTCTTGATGGTTCATCATATGCGCGCGGGAATCAGCAACAACCTACCTTCGCTCCGTACGAACGCGGGTCCATCAGCTTCATGCCGCACCCGCAAGCTCCATCTGGACAAGAAAAACAACTGGATGCACTACAAGTCCAGTCGCAATTCGCGCACGTCTTGAAGCTGCAGACGTCAAGGCCCTTCGACGGAAAAGACTTCTTTACCTGGTCGTTCGAATTCGAGCTGATGATGGAAGGCGCGCAGATACTTGGCTTCTTCGACGGGTCCCTGCCATACCCAACAAACGGCACACAGTATGAGAAGCAGCAGTACACATATCAGTCGATGATGGCGTACACGATCCTGCTGAGAAATATCACCCCAACTCAGCAGCAGAACATACGGTCTTACCGGGGATTCGGCAACTCCGCGGAACTCGCGTACAAGCACCTCAAGGACCTGTATCAAGCAACAGACAGCGTCAGTCAAAGTCGGCTAATGGCGCAACTGACAACAGCTGAAATGAAACCAGGCGAAAAAGGGATGGCATATGTCAGCCGATGTCGCGAACTGCGCGACAAGCTTCTTCGATGCGGAGGGTCGATCTCTGAAGACGCCTTCGTGACAGTCATCATCGGCGGCCTCGGTCCTCAATGGCGCGCAACAAAAGCCATTCTCCGAGCCCACGGAAGAATCTCCGAAGCAGCGCTCTGAGCCGAAATACATGCTGAGCAACAAGACATGCCGTTGCAAGAAGAACGACACAAGAGAAAGACATCAGTACCGGAATTCGCGTTCCACACTCAGCGACGGTACAACAACAACAACCGACAACAACCAAAACCCGTACCTCCGTTCTGCCATATCTGCAAGACGTCAGGGCACCCGCGCACACACTGCCCGAATCGACAACAGTCAACGCCACAACAGCGACAGCTTCGACCTTCAAGCAGCCAAGTTGCTTCAACGCAAGCGAATCCTACGACCCAGATTCAAGCTTCAACATCATCAACGGGACAACCTGCACAGGGAGCAAGAAACATCATCAGTTGCATGACAAAACTGACCGACTCCTGCGTCACTGAATCACCGCCACACTACTCACCGGAAGAACAGCTCGACAACAGGACACCACGCCGGGAGACACTGAAGCCGAACCCGACATACGCTGCTGTCGCCCAAAGCGAGCCATCCGGGAAGGACACATGGTTCTTGGACAGTTGCTGCGGACAACACATGTGCTCTTCAGGACGCTTCGTACAGAAAGAGTACCAACTCCAACGTGAAGTCGTCATCACCGTCGCCAACAACCAGAATCTGCGCACACGACGACAAGGAGTTGTTCAACTTCAGTCACGAGAAACGAACGTCATACTACAGATGTCGAAAGTCTTAATCGCAGAAGGCCTCGGCTACAACTTACTCAGCGTCAGTCAGTTGATGGCGAAGGGCATCCATCTTGAAGCAGACAGCACCACCCAGGAGTTCAAGCTGTACCACGGAAAAGGCGGCCTCTACATCGGAAAGGCGATCCTCAAGAACAACGTCTTCGTCCTTGACTTCGTCCCCGATCTTGGCACTGCCGACAGCGACGCCATCGTCAACTTCACCGACTGGATACACCCTCCAGATCTTGATCCAGATTTCAGTCCCGGCGGCTTCTGGTACTCCCACACCATCCCTGAAACAGAACGAACAAGAGCATTAGCGACAATTCAGCAATCGGCAACAGCAGAGACAACATCGGCAGCAGCAGAGACAACATCGGCAGCAGCAGAGACAACGACAGCAGCAGCAGGAACATCAACACCAGTCGCCGGTCCTTCAACGGCATCACTCCTCATCGACGATACACCTCCGACACCAGCACAACAGCTTAACCCGGCACGACGAGAAGCCCACCGAAGCGCTAACATCACCGTCGGCTTCTATTCGAACTCCGATATATACCGACGTTCACCCGGACATCGCACCAGCGAAGAAACCTGGCACGCAAGGATGGGACACCCAAGCAACACAGTGTTAAACAACACGATAAGAGCAGGCGTGCTCGACAAAGACTCACTCATGTTAACCGACGGCAGAGAACTTCAGCGAGCCCGTGGAACGTGCTTCACCTGCCCTGAAGCAGACTTACCGCATCAGCCGTTCCCTTCACACCACAACCCAAGCGCACCCGCATACGCACCACTCGAAAAGGTGTACAGCGACATCTTGTACAACCGCGAGCCCGGACAAAACGCATACAACTACACCATCACCTTCATCGACGCCACCACTCGATACGTCTGGCATCTAAACCTTCCCAGCCGTGACATGGCCTTCGAAGCCTTCTTGGCGTGGCTTCCTGCAGCGGAAAGAGAATCAGGTGCGAAGCTGAAAAGCTTCCAGTCAGACGGGGGAGGAGAATACACCTCACAGAGGTTCAAGCAGTATCTGGCGGAAAGGGGCATCAAGCGGCTCATCTCCCTTCCCTACGCCCACCAACAGCAAGGCGTAGCAGAAAGGATGAACAGAACTCTTCTAGAACACCATGCGCAAGCTGCTACGTGGCATGCGGCTACCCACCTCCAAGTGGCCCGACTGAAGCGATGGACCACGCTGTCATGCTGCACAACTTGCTATCTTCGTCGTCACTCCCGAACAACGCATCACCGCACCTGCTGTGGACAGGAAAACTGGGCAGCACAAAAATGTTACGAGTTTTTGGGTGCATGGTACAGTACAGACCGCCAGCAGCACGAGCCGGCCGATTCTCCCAACGCGCACAATGGGGACTACACCTGGGCATCGAAAAACACTACAACGCATGGAAGATCTTTGACGTCGCGACAAAAGAAACAGTGGCAGCACGTGATGTCATTTTCTACGAGCGGCTCACACTGCCAACGTACCTTGCCAACCTGGGCGAGAACCAAGACCCCACAGGTGGATTTCGCGGAGACCGAGCCTTCTCCTCGGCAGAAGACGAAGCAGATTGGGACGAGCAGAACGTGGAAGGAGCCTCGGAAGAAGCCGGACCACTTCCATACTGCTCAGTTGACATCCCGATGGACGACGAAAATCCTCGCGAAAGCATCAACGTCGAAACGTATTACCACTTCGCCGACAACGGCTACGTTACACCTGCACAGGTCAATACGCACGAAGCAGAACGAGTAGGACCGAATTTCAACCCAACACCAGAAGCGGGAGACGAAGCAGTTTATCCCGAGGACACAACACTCCCCCGCTACACACAGAGTGGACTCCAAATCCTTGGACTCGTCACCGCAGTCCACGGGGCAGCACGACATTCCTAAGGAGCCTGCAACGGTTCAGCAGGCTCTGGGGGGGGAGCACAAGGAGAAATGGCGTGAAGCCATGGACAGGGAACTAAAGGCACTGGAAGAGCGCAACACGTGGAAAGTCGTTCCGATCAGCGTAGCACGAAACAAGACAATTCTTACCGGGAAATGGGTCTTTCGTGTGAAAACGAAAGCAGACGGCACCATCGAGAAGTTCAAAGCACGATGGGTCGTACGCGGCTTCGACCAAGAACACACTGGCGAGACTTCACCGAGACATTCGCTCCGGTTAGCAGACACACATCACTCCGAATCCTTCTCGCAATCGCCGCCATGAAAAGGAAGAAGCTGCGGCAAATCGACGTCGCGAACGCCTTCCTCTACGCACCCGTTGACGCAGAGATCTTCGTGGAACACCGCACGGCACCAACGGAGAACCGAACAAGATCTGTCAACTACTGAAATCGCTCTACGGGATTAAGCAAGCCCCGCGGCTATGGCAGCAGTATCTACACGCCCGTCTCATCCGCATTGGATTCAAGCAACTGCCCCACGATCAAGGGATGTACCGGCTTACGAAGAACAACGACTACGTCTTACTAATCGTCTATGTAGACGACCTCCTCTACATCGGCTCGACCGACGACATCACCACCTGGTTCGAAGGGGAGCTGCAGCAGGACCTCACGCTCACGGTTTCATCTACAGTCACACAGTACCTTGGGCTCAACATCCGAGAAGAAGAAACTGCAATCTACCTCAGCGCCGAAAAGTACGCCGACACCATCGCCAATCGTTTCGCTCTCACACCGACCGCGATCTCCACGCCATACCGCTACACGACAGGAACTGACAAGGGAGGATCTACTCTACTGAAGCCCGCCGGCATACGCGACTACCAGAGAAAGCTGGGCTGTCTTCTCTTCGCAGCTGTCACCTGCCGCCCCGACCTCTCATATTCCGCAAGCCAGCTCGCTACCTACCTCAAAAGGCCCGAAGCAGAACACCTGGCGGAGCTCGACCGCGCTCTTCACTACTTCGTCAGCACTCCAACGATCGGCCTAACGTATCACAGGAATGCAACTACACCGACTAAGCTAATCGGTTATGTCGATGCCGATCACGCCGGCGATTCCGACAATAGGCGATCCCGCACCGGCTACATCTACCGCCTCGAGCCTATCGGTCCTATCTCCTGGCAGTCGAGTAAGCAAGAACTAATCGCCCTCTCATCAGCTGAAGCAGAATATATCGCACTCTGCTCAGCCACCAAGGAAGGACTTTACCTTCGCGAGCTGCTGGAAGAAGCGAAGTTGGCCGAGTTACCTAATTTCACTCTGTTCTGCGACAACCAATCTGCAATTCGCATCGCCAACAAAAGTGGGTTCGCGAACAGAACGAAACATATCGCCCTGCGATATTTCTTCGTGAAAGACGAGATCGAGAAGGGGAGACTTGAACTATCCTATTGTCCCACATCCGAGATGGCAGCCGACTATTTGACCAAGAAGCTCGGAAAGCAGAAGTTCGAGTACTGCATGCTGCTGACTGGACAAGGCCACGTCACCTGCAGCGACACTCCAGAAGCGAAGGGGAGTGTTGGAAACAAGTAATTCCTAAAGCGCCTCTGTCGTGTCGAAACATCACACCAGAAGCGAAGCGAGTCATATCGAGGCACGAGCGAGTCAACCCTCGGAGGTTAAAAGAGGTTGCTGGAGGTTACGCGAAAGTCAAAGGTCAAGCGACCTTTGACCTGACAAGTACAGCGCGACAGTTAAGGACACACAACTGACTCGTTACAGAGCAGTTGCCCGAGTCGTACTGTATCGAACCGCAACAGCAAATTAGTTACAATCGTATCCTTTCGTATTCCTTGTACTACTATATATTCTTGTATCTCTTTGTTATAATCAACTTACTTTGCTCTCACACACCAGTGCAAGGTGGTTCACAAGTCTTCATTAAACGCTTCCGCTATTACAATAGTCCTACCCCGAATTTACCCCTGCAAAAGATCCTAAGGGCTTTTCTCAGCCCAACAAGGTTTACCGTCATGCCCCGGATATACACCCAGGCATCAGATACACCCATGCGCTTATAATCGTACTGGTGCGCTTATAGGCAGGGGCCGATTATAAGCCCACCCTAATTTTGGGTCATCTTCGTATAAGCGCACCTAACGATTTTTTGCTCAAATCTGTGTTTTTTCTAGTCAGTTTGCCACTAACGCGTCAGGAGCAATCGTCGCTGATGTGCCTGGCGAGATTCTCCCTGGCGAAATTGCCACAGGCGCGCACGTGTTAGCAGCATTTCAGCACGTGATGGCAGGGAATCTTGCCAGGGTGGCACATTTTCGGCAAATCTCGTAGCAACCACTTTTTTGGTAGATTCGATTGAAACGGCAAGGCTGAGATCTACATTTCTATGTATCAAAATCATAATTCTCTTAGTGCCATTTATTTAGCCCATGGGGTTATAAAAAATTCCACATTATAAGCCCACCCACCATTTTTCCAGGTTTTTTTATTACACCCCCATATGGGGGTATATCCGGGGCATGACGGTACCCTGATGTGTCAGAATTTTTGTTTAAGGCACACTGATGCCCAAGGGTTCCCGAATCCCGTAACGGGTTTTATCGCAAGCGCCGATGACCGATGATGCTCGCAACCCTCCCACGCCCTTGCTGGCTTGGCAATAGGCCCAGACAAGCGCAGCCACATGACCCGGCGGAAGAAAAACGCTCGTAACGAGCGCTTCCACCCCAAAAACGCGGAAGGATCCGCACATGTGCAGGAAGTGCAGCGAGCGCTCTTCATTCGCGAGCGCCGATGACCGATGATGCTCGCAACCCTCCCACGCCATTGCTGGCTTGGCAATAGGCCCAGAAAAGCGCATCCACATGACCCAGCGGAAGAAAAACGCTCGGAACGAGCGCTTCTAGCCCCAAAACGCGGAATGATCCGCACATGTGCAGGAAGTGCAGCGGGCGCTCTTCATTCGCGAGCGCCGATGACCGATGATGCTCGCAACCCTCCCACGCCCTTGCTGGCTTGGCAATAGGACCAGACAAGCGCAGCCACGTGATCCGGCGGAAAAAAAAACGCTCGGAACGAGCGCTTCCAGCCCCAAAACGCGGAAGGATCTGCACATGTGCAGGAAGTGCAGCGTGCGCTCTTCATTCGCGAGCGCCGATGACCGATGATACTAGCAACCCTCCCACGCCCTTGCTGGCTTGGCAATAGGCCCAGAAAAGCGCAGCCACGTGACCCGACGGAAGAAAAACGCTCGGAACGAGCTCTTCCAACCCCAAAACGCGGAAGGATCCGCACATGTGCAGGAAGTGCAGCGCGCGCTCTTCATTCGCGAGCGCAGATGACCGATGATGCTCGCAACCCTCCCACGCCCTTGCTAGCTTGGCAAGAGGCCCAGACAAGCGCAGCCACGTGACCCGGCGGAAGAAAAACGCTCGGAACGAGCGCTTCCAGCCCCAAAACGCGGAAGGATCTGCACATGTGCAGGAAGTACAGCGGGCGCTCTTCATTCGCGAGCGCCGATAACCGATGATGCTCGCAACCCTCCCACGCCATTGCTGGCTTGGCAAAAGGCCTAGACAAGCGCAGCCACGTGACCCGGCAGAAGAAAAACGCTCGGAACGAGCGCTTCCAGCCCCAAAACGCGGAAGGATCCGTACATGTGCAGGAAGTGCAGCGGGCGCTCTTCATTCGCGAGCACCGATGACTGATGATGCTCGCAATCCTCCCACGTCCTTGCTGGTTTGGCAATAGGCCCGGACAAGCGCAGCGACGTGACCTAGTGGAAGAAAAATGCTCTGAACAAGCGCTTCCAGCCCCAAAACGCGGAAGGATCCGCACATGTGCAGGAAGTGCAGCGGGCGCTCTTCATTCGCGAGTGCCGATGACCGATGATGCTCGCAACCCTCCCACGCCCTTGCTGGCTTGGCAATAGGCCCAGACAAGCGCAGCCACGTGACCCGGCGGAAGAAAAACGCTCGGAATGAGCGCTTCCAGCCCCAAAACACGGAAGGATCCGCACATGTGCAGGAAGTGCAGTGGGCGCTCTTCATTCGCGAGGGCCGATGACCGATGATGCTCGCAACCCTCCCACGCCCTTGCTGGCTTGGCAATAGGCCCAGACAAGCGCAGCCACGTGACCCGGCAGAAGAAAAACGCTTGGAACGAGGGCTTCCAACGCCATAACGCGGAAGGATCTGCACACGTGCAGGAAGTGCAGCAGCCGCTCTTCATTCGCAAGGACCGATGACCGTAGCTCGGTTGAAAATCGTGTATTCTCATTGATGCAAGGAAGAGTATGAGTACAACATTGCCTAGGGGACTCATAAGGGGTTGGGGTCATCCTGGGAACTCAGAGAAGGTTGAGTCCTAGGGGAGAAAGGCTAGAGAAGGATGGGAAACGTCCTAGCTAGGTCAGCAAAGCCAACCACACATGGATGTTCAGAGCTGTACTCAAGGCTACCAATAGTGAGTCAAGCCAACCATGAGTCAGCTTGTCTTCCCACTTGCACCCTCTTGCAAGCTGCTTCCAGGAAGACCACACTTCTCAAAAGGAGGGTGGTAGAGTCCCACTTGACCACCTGTACTTCTTGTCTCATTCTCTGTCCCTGCACCATTGGCATGACAACAATGAAAGGGTGGCAAGGGAAATGCTGCCAACAGTGCACCATGACAACGGAACAGTGACTTTCGACAGCTGTCACGCAATGCTCCGATGTTGGATCGTTCTGAAACTTGGTGACCACCTGCACAACGGGGCAAAGGACTGCCAGACCGAATTTGAGACCAATCAAAGCTTGGTAGACGAGTCAGCAGCCGAAATGGTGAACTCGGGTGTTACCAAAAAATTAGTAACACACACTTCCGGAATGCCATAAGTCTTGAAACTTAAAATATTGTCATGCCTTGCTAACTGAAAGCGGGAGAAGGTGATGGAAAGCGGGAGAATGGGGCGGGGTGATGGAAAGCGGGAGAATGGGGCGGGGTGATGGAAAGCGGGAGAATGGGGCGGGGTGATGGAAAGCGGGAGAATGGGGCGGGGTGATGGAAAGCGGGAGAATGGGGCGGGTGATGGAAAGCGGGAGAATGGGGCGGGTGATGGAAAGCGGGAGAATGGGGCGGGGTGATGGAAAGCGGGAGAATGGGGCGGGGTGATGGAAAGCGGGAGAATGGGGCGGGTGATGGAAAGCGGGAGAATAGGGCGGGGTGATGGAAAGAGGGAGAATGGGGCGGGGTGATGGAAAGCGGGAGAATGGGGCGGGTGATGGAAAGCGGGAGAATGGGGCGGGGTGATGGAAAGCGGGAGAATTGGGCGGGGTGATGGAAAGCGGGAGAATGGGGCGGGTGATGGAAAGCGGGAGAATGGGGCGGGTGATGGAAAGCGGGAGAATGGGGCGGGGTGATGGAAAGCGGGAGAATTGGGCGGGGTGATGGAAAGCGGGAGAATGGGGCGGGTGATGGAAAGTTGGAGAATGGGGCGGGGTGATGGAAAGCGGAGAATGGGGCGGGGTGATGGAAAGCGGGAGAATGGGGCGGGGTGATGGAAAGCGGGAGAATGGGGCGGGGTGATGGAAAGCGGGAGAATGGGGCGGGGTGATGGGAGAATGGGGCGGGGTGATGGAAAGCGGGAGAATGGGGCGGGTGATGGAAAGCGGGAGAATGGGGCGGGGTGATGGGAGAATGGGGCGGGGTGATGGAAAGCGGGAGAATGGGGCGGGGTGATGGAAAGCGGGAGAATGGGGCGGGGTGATGGAAAGCGGGAGAATGGGGCGGGGTGATGGAAAGCGGGAGAATGGGGCGGGGTGATGGAAAGCGGGAGAATGGGGCGGGGTGATGGAAAGCGGGAGAATGGGGCGGGGTGATGGAAAGCGGGAGAATGGGGCGGGGTGATGGAAAGCGGGAGAATGGGGCGGGGTGATGGAAAGCGGGAGAATGGGGCGGGGTGATGGAAAGCGGGAGAATGGGGCGGGGTGATGGAAAGCGGGAGAATGGGGCGGGGTGATGGAAAGCGGGAGAATGGGGCGGGGTGATGGAAAGCGGGAGAATGGGGCGGGGTGATGGAAAGAGGGAGAATGGGGCGGGGTGATGGAAAGCGGGAGAATGGGGCGGGTGATGGAAAGCGGGAGAATGGGGCGGGGTGATGGAAAGCGGGAGAATGGGGCGGGGTGATGGAAAGCGGGAGAATGGGGCGGGGTGATGGAAAGCGGGAGAATGGGGCGGGGTGATGGAAAGCGGGAGAATGGGGCGGGTGATGGAAAGCGGGAGAATGGGGCGGGGTGATGGAAAGCGGGAGAATGGGGCGGGGTGATGGAAAGCGGGAGAATGGGGCGGGGTGATGGAAAGCGGGAGAATGGGGCGGGAGATGGGGCGGGAGAATGGGGCGGGGTGATGGAAAGCAGGAGAATGGGGCGGGAGATGGAAAGCGGGAGAATGGGGCGGGGTGATGGAAAGCGGGAGAATGGGGCGGGGTGATGGAAAGCGGGAGAATGGGGCGGGTGATGGAAAGCGGGAGAATGGGGCGGGGTGATGGAAAGCGGGAGAATGGGGCAGGAAGCGGGAGAATGGGGCGGGGTGATGGA